TTCGACCGAACTTTGCTAATTCCACTTTTCCATACTCTTAGCCTCGATAATGAATAATGTTAATGAGTCGACTTGTTGTTCACTTTTCGCCGCGGTTTGGTCGTAAGCACTGGTAAATTTTGTTACCCAACAAAGTCCAGAGTTTATAATGGTGAAGAAGATCACAAAGTAATCGGATCTGCGGTGTACGTATTGATTGAAAATAAAGCAACGTGGATTAAATTTTGGTAGAAATTTCCATTACCGGTGATACAACAACTAATATTATCTATAGGCATGTATTTCTATGCAAATGTGTGTATGTAGGTCTTAACTTTATTGAATAAAAGTTTGCGGTTTTGCGTACGTCGGTTCAATTTTGGGTTCAAAAGTTGCGTCGTGCCGTATTTCGAAGGATGCTTTCACCAATAATTAACGTACTGCATGTTACTCCTCTTTCACTTCATTTAATGTTTTTCGTTACATAAATGTCACCACCTACCCAACTCGGTTCTGATCACGTTTTGTGACAAAATGGGAGATGATGGCGTCATGTCTCGTTCGTTATGCATATTTAATTACTTGGGATGGTCTTCTTCTTAAACGTTACATAACAAGAGAACAAAGTGTAGTAAGTTAATTTGTATAACTAGATTTCGAGTTTTCATGTAAGAACTTCGTGCCAAAAGCTAACTAACAATGCCGGGAGAAAGTCTGAAAGTATTGTTGTATTTCCTATATCTCCAAATTTTCTCGGACTTGATAGTACCTGATGGCACCCCAGTGGGAGAGATAAACGGAGAAAAAGTGAGATAGCACAAAATGCACGTTTAAGGAGGATATAGTGAAGCTAGAATCTTGTAGGAGTTGGATAATGTGCATATCAAAAGAGAAAGTATACTCTAAATAATGTGGGAAAAGAATTGGTACAGATTTTGGCAACAATTTCAACCAAACGGTAACAAAAATACACTTCAAATTCGATTTTGACACCAACTTTTGGATCTAATTTCTCACCGCAGGGTGATAAATGTGAATTTCGTTAGTATTGATAACCTGCCACAATTTTCTTCCCATATTATTTAGAGATTTTTAACCCGAAGAATCATAAATGACGATGAACCTGCTACCATTTCCCGAGAAATCTTATCGCTTCCACTCGTACGTACGTAGATAAAATTTAAATTTTACTACAACTTTGGTCCAAAATTTTCTTCTCTGTGATATCGCCACCAGCCGAAAACTTCTTCTTTCACACTTTTTACGCAAACAACCCCAACTAACGTAGTAAAGTTAAAGTTTTAATTATTTTCTTCCCGAAATTCGCGTCTCATTTCCAAGTTAAAGTTGAAAAGTTGCCGAGAAAATCACCATCCAAGCTTAGGATTATTACTTATGATACCTAATATGTCCACCTAACCAACTTTGTTTTGAGTTTTAATCACTCGCAATTAATTAGAATTTCTAAATAGTTTCCAGCAGTCGAATTTTAGTCAAAAACTTATAGAAAGCGCTGTCAGGTGTGTAAATAAGATTGAGACATTTGTCAAAAAGAAATGCTAAACCTGACTGAAAAAAAAACTGTGCAGCGATTTTCTCTGCATACTCTAACGAGATCCATGTTTCAGATAAGGAAAAAAATAAGCGTAAAAAGCTAGATAATACGTCTCCCCGCCGCACTTATCCAACTCTAGACACCCAAAAAAATCACTATGTCTTAAGAGAAAAAAGACATCAAACGCCTTCGTCCCCACTTTTAGCGAGATTTATGAAAGTCACTCTGCTTCACACTCTCCCAGCGAGGCAATTTCATGACCAAGGTGGCAGTCCCACTGCTCCAAATTGAGACTTGCACTTTGAGAGTTGACAATAAAAATAAAAGTGACAAGTGATACTTTTCATTTCGGGGCTAGGAGAGAGAGGTTTAGTTGATGAAGTAAAGTGAAAGTAGGAGAAAGCAGTAGCGAGTTTCTCTAGTAGATCAATACCTCCATCATGGAGTCTTATCGCACAGTATAACTATTCATTTAGTGCTACCTACCTTACACAGCATTGGTATTACGTACATGCAGACAGGGGCCGCGGAAGCCGTGGGGACATGTGGGGACATTAACGCTGAAGGATAGGGAGAGGGAGGGGTTTATGTAGCATGGGGGATGATGGGGACCTTGTCCCTGTGTCCCCACGCTTCCGCGGCCACTGATCGTATATATTTTGTGCAGCCTACGTAATAACCCACCGACCGTGCACCTTGTGATTCCAGCACCACCACTTCAATTGAAATCAACTCTGTGAAACTTGTCAGCACAGAAGATCAGTGAATGCTTTCATTTCATGTGGTGCAGCGCTCCTCGGAGGTGGTAATGATGGGTGATGAACGCTATACATGCATACGTAATGGAGCTTTCTTTCCCAATTATTTTAGCGTAGAGGAGAAACGATGGGACGACTTTTGGTGACTGACATTACACGTAATTGGCGTATAACAACTAATTAAAACAAATCTGACCTTGACTCGGCGAAAGTTTTAGATTGCTACTCAACTTTATCCAAGCACAAATCGCAGTGCTTTTCGATCCATCATTCGTTCCTGTGTTGGCGTACTGAGCTAATTGAAAAATAATTGCATTCTGACCTTGGAAATGTACTGCAGCAGGGATGGATTGATTTACAAAGTACTGTAATTATTCACTTCGTCGTGCCGAAATGGTCACATATTAGTGAAACTGAAATCGTACTTTGTCGTGACATGGAGCGATTTCAATGGTTTGAATGAAACAGTGGATCTTTATTGATAGTAATTTTGATGGGGAATGATCATGGTCATCAGCACCTTAATTTGTGCATTGACTATTAATCAATTGAATTAAATCATGATTCGTTGTCAATAGGAGATTTTCACTTTATTAGCTTGGGGGGCGTTGGGATCGGGAAATTCGCTAAAATTATGTGAATGGCGTATTTTTCGAAATTTCGAAATTATTGTTCGGAGCATCATAAAAACAACAAAATGTAAAAATGTGACCCATTAAATTACTTGATATTCGATACGAATTAGGAATTCCAATCTACAAATTGCAGAATTCGATCTCTTCGCATCCCATCAAAAGCCAAAAGGTACTTACGCATTCCAATTTGAATAACTAGGCGCACGTAGGCGGTCCAACTTGACATAACCATTACATCGTGACACCAGTTTCATTTTAGCATGCTAAATTTAACCTAATTTGTGCACAAAATTTGCCTAGTTTCGTCCCACAGTTAACCACACACTTCATACTTCACTTGCTGCAAAATGGAAACAAACAAACAAACATGGGAACAAAATGGACATATTTTACTACCAAATATGTCATACTACATATTTATGTAATAACAACGCAAAAAGAGATCTCAGCACCGATTGTATCATTACTTCAAGGGCTCGGATTTCGCATGTCGCACTCTTGACGAAAGGTCAAGAAGATGAGGTCGTTATCGGGTTTGTTTTTCTGTATTAATGGAAAAAAAGAAAAGATCTTATCTAATCCGATCAGCTAAACATGGTCGTGCGCGAAATACGAGCAGAGAGAAAAGTGTCAATTTTCATGCTCCACTGTTTTCACAACTTTCACCTTCTGTTACACAACACCATGTCTTCTTCACTCTGCACAAGAAGTTACTTATTTATTCATCCATCCGCCCACCTTTTCTACTTGGTATGCACTAATTAACAAATTCCAGAAATTTGAGACATTTCCAATTCTCTTCCTCCGCTCAACCCCGTGAATGAACAAATACACATACATAATCCAATCAAAAAGCAATAAACTCACTTCCAAATTGATTATCCAACTCAAGAATGGAATCACAACCTGGAAAAAAGTATGTTTCTAGGTCCTTCAAGCAAGTTGAAGTAGCATTTTCGAAAATAACTTTCACTCACTAACTCAATAACGAATAGTAATTAGGCGGAGGCGGATCATTATTAACCCAAAAGACCCAAAATTACACTAGAAAGTGTAGTAGATCAGCATGGATGGATAGAATAACCTAACTACGCATATGTACATACACATGAACCAGCTTTCTACTAGGAAGTCAGGAACAAAATAACCCAATCTTAAGTAAACAGAGCAGTTAGTCACCACACCACCATCCAGCCAACGAAGTAAGTAAATTATTATGGTACGGGCAGAAACAGAGAGTCTGAAAATGAAAGCTAAACCAGTAAAGTGAATATAAAGACCGTAAGTAACGACCTAATTACTTAACGTTGCTGCCCTAAACGGTCTACTTCATCCATCACTGCTTACTTACTCTCGTTCGTTTGCTGACGAAGGAACTTTCTCCAGCACATCCGTCACTCATTTCTCCGACTTTCACCACCACCACCACCTCAAACATGAACGAGTAGATATATGACCATCAAATCATAAATCTGCTGCTGTGGTTTTGGTCTGGTCGGTCGGTCGGATGGTTTTTCTCCGTCAGCCAGACAGACGCAGGAGTTTAAGTACCACCATTAAACCCCAACCAACCAAGTTATATGCTCGGATAAATAAATTCATGTCGTCGGTTAAAGGTGTCAATGGCAAAAGGGTTACGTATTAGGAGAGAAAACGAGGTCAGTCGAGAAAGCAAGTTAAGGCACCCCTCGAATCGGGACGATTTATAACCCCTGTACATCTGTCTCAATAATAATGTAATGATGGACGTCACGCTGTTCTTGTAGAATTTCTTGTAAATTACGATGCATTACGACTCGAATTTTTGGGTGCGAAAAGCATACCAAGAAATATAGATTTGCGGTTACGTAAGAAAGTGCAGAATTTGAAGTTCGTAAAACTCTCTCATTCAATTGCACATGGATAAAATGATGACGTGACATTTCTATCAAATCTCTCGAAACCTTATCATTCACCTTCTCTCGCAGTTATGAATCGAGAGCGGTGACAACAATGCAAAATTTTCATTCTACGAGTTCAATGGGTGAGATCGAGTGAGATACTGAATTCGAAATTTATTTCATCTATTTACAGATTCTTGAAAAGAAGGAGGACTACACTACACTCGTCCCCGGATCCATTTATTCCTGCTCAATCATTTCCATATTATTGGCCAGGAAAAGGACTTTTTTCAATCCGTTTTTCATCATATGAATCTCAAAAACAAGATTTTTTCAAAAGATCAGGTTGAATGGAGTCAATCTGGCCTTCTTCAAAATTCATCAATCCGTTCTAAGATCAGCTAAGCAGAAAAATCCACAAAATTCCAGTCAGATTTTTGTCGGTCACGGGAATACAAATCTTTTGGGGCAAACATGGGGAGCCGTATTAATCGTCCCGACATCGCCGTGTACACCCTGTTTGGATTCTGCTTGGCTTGCTTTCTCCTCGTGATTGGTAGCATTCTAACATTTAACTTGACATTTAACTCCTATTCTGACGACCAACATAAACAACATCCACACTCGCCCCAGCAATTTCATCACTACCCTATATCATCCATTCAGGTCGAAAATCAACAAAACCACGTTGAGAAGAAGCAGCCTAGTCAGGAAAACGGCGGACAAGAGAAGAAAATGAGCCCCAGTTCGAGTCAGGGGTCCAATAATAAGCAAGCAGGAGGAGAAAGCCAATCTGGCCAGAGTCCATTATTACAGGAGAAAAATTCCCAGCAGCAGCAGAGGGGAAATAGCAGTCACAATGGGAATGAAACCCCCGGGGGGAGCAGTTTTGCTGATTTTCCTCATGTGATGGAACCACAAACGGAGGCGAATGAAAACAAAATTATTGTGAATTCATCATCATCTCATAATGGGAGCAGTTCCAATTCTGATGGTGCTTTGACTCCTCGGGGAACAAGAAATAATAAGGGAAGCGTTGTGCTGGCTGTAATTGGACCATCATGCTTGTTGATGGGATTTCTCCTAATTGTAATAATAGTCGTGGTTGCGTTGAAGTATGACTGTGACCATGAGCCAGAACCGGAAATCGCATTTCTTCGTTTGCGGTCCGAACTTTCACTCAATTTCGACCCGGATAAAAATAACTATGAATTGCTGAGAAGGGTGCCAACTACGAGTCAGGGTGACCAACAACAAAGCAGTGGAACAAGTAGGACTAATCCAGCTTAATTGTGATTAATTGTATACCCTTTAATTATCTAATTAAACCAATGTTGTTATACTTATATGTATTGCATTGCATCCAAATAATAATGACGAATAAATTACATTGTAGTGTAGTTTCTTAGTCTTGGCACGCTGCCTGACTGGTCGGTTTAATAAATTGAAATTCATGATGGGCTAAATTTGATAACATTAAATGTATTCATCTACAATATTCATATACTATATTTCATTTGTTAATATAAAATTGTCCAACTTTCAAACTATCTGAATAATAATATTAGAAGCCTCGTTTTATTAACCACTCCTTAACCTGTTCCGTATGGTCACCCTTTATCCCGACGAATCTGGCACATTCCTGTGTATACGTTGAAATAATCCTGTACGGAAATATAGATTTCAAAAACTTTCCAACATCTCTTTCCAGCGCCTGTATAATGAAATTACGAAATATATCAATAACTGCTAACCGATAAATTTATTAAGCTTTTGTTTCTGTTCTCACCCAAATATTTCCTTCCACAAATTTAATTCTCGTCTCTCTAATCTGTCCCCTGTCCCATGTGAGGGTGTAGACCGGCACCATGTGATTCTTGTTCCGTGGGATGTAATAAGAGCAGTTCTTGGGAGGATTGGGTACCGTCCATCCTGAAGGGAACACTTTTCCGGGAGTGGCAGGTCGTAGGGGGACGGTTTTTGGTGGAATCATCCTCTCCACCCATTTCCACTCGGCGTACGACTTTTCAAAGTCGGTGTACAATTCGGGAGGACCTTCGAGGTCAGACGCGTAATAACTTTTACCACGTCTCTGTTCTGGTGACTCAAAATTTGTTGTTGTCGGTGTCCAGTGTGGAAGGCAAACCTTTACAAATTAACAAGCCAAATACAATTTTACAATTTTAACAACAATCGATTCAAAAAAACAATTCACAATTTAAATAAGTGTACTTACCGGTTTTCTGAGTAAACTGATTCCTCCTCCACAACTAATGCAGGACAATCTTGTCGAAACTGTCCTCAACATTTTGTAAGCTATTCTAAGCTAAGCTAACAACTTAACCAATTCGAGATGAAATTAATAACAATTTTACAATTTTTTGCGACACAAAAGAATCAACTTCCTTTTGCAAAATCGGAATAAATGTGATTTGCTCAAAGTTCGCTCTCTCCTGGGGTGAAATGAATTACGTTGACAAGCAGTCTCAGCACTCAACGACTCGTTTGTGGACAGATGAACAATGTCAAGATTACCTTATCGCCGTAGGTTATCAACACCTCTAAGATGTTAGTAATGTTAGTAATTAGATTTCGATAGGCATTTATAATTTAATATAACACATCGCAATATACACAAAGTTTGGACGAGTTTGACAATGTTGGGGAAATTGAGACTTTGTTGTAGCGATGAGACGATGCTATTGATAAATGGGCATTTTGAGATTATGAGATTATGTTGGTCACATTCATTATTTCAGTGTTGTTGCATACATAGATTCATCATTCCTCTTTCAGGTTCTTCTCTTCTTTCAGGCTGTTAAGCCTGAAAGAAGAGAGTTTACAAAGTTTATTCATTGAAATAATCCATTTAATAATCCATCCGTTTTCCCATACCATCTGCATTTTTATTTATTTTTGGTTTTAGATAAGCACATATTTTTACAAGTGGCGTTTAAGACTTACAAATTCAGTTAACAATGCATGATTAAATAATCACTCCATTTATTTGATAAAATTCAATTCATTCATAATCCAGACGGTCCCCTATGGCTGTAGGATCGAGAAATTTTGAAATACCCTTTTTCACTGCCGACAAAATCATGCTAATGATTCTATGGGAAACATGCCAACTTTTTTTCTCACATTTTTAAACCATTCCAAACTTATGATTTCTAAGATCAACATTTATCTCTCCTTGATTATGAAGTTCTACTGGTGATCACATGAATCTAATTTTTGTCGATACTCATCAACACGATATCATTTTCCGCTTAGCTTATATTTGAACAATGAAAGGTGCCAGATTCAAGATGGCGACGGCATCAACAACCCAGCAGCAAAACTGTAGCGCTGCTGAAGGAGGATGGCCCAAGACGAACATCGGTTATCCAAACTGTGACACTGCCCGAGGAGCAGATCAAACCCAACTAGCCCCCAATCTGTATCAGTACTGCTGCCCACCAGCGCCCTTGGAAATGAAGGAAATCTCAGGAATCGTGGCCAGACCGACGTATCGGGGTCACACGCCAAGGTCAGTTCTGCCGGAATACTTATAAGTAGAAATTTGTAACAATGTAACTGACATTGCAGACCACGTGGCGTCCACAGCTACTACAATTTAATGTGGGATGGTCACGTGCGTCGGGGTGACCCTGCACAAAAACAGGCCAGAAAGGTAACACACTTATTTTAACATTAATTTATTTCCTATATTAATTACTCCACTTTTTCAGGAGGAAGAAGAATGCGACAAAATCCGCCAGCGACTAAACCGTCCCCGCAAAACGAAATCCATGGCGCAACGTCTCGCCGAGAAAAAGGCGAAAGCCGCCCTCACCCCGGAAGACATGATAAACAAAGAAATGGCTCGTTACACCAAACTAGCAATTTCCAATTTGGCTCCGAAAGACCCAGAAAAGTACTTGATCGACCTCTCCGATGAAATTGACGTTCTAGACGCTTGTTACAAGGGAAAACGGCTTCAAACATTGAGATCATTCCCCATCGCGCCGTCCCGGGCGACCAATCTCGAAGACGCTGGAACGCAAGTTTATCCAAATGAATTTCACGATTTTGACGGAGAAGTTGAACCCTTAATGGCAAGACTGATTGGAGCAGTGGTCGATCAGGTTAGTAAATACCAATTAAATTAATATATATTGAAAATTTGCATAATATTTCAATTAGGCTCAACTCGAGCTACTTGAAGAGGAAGAGTTACAAGCCCTCATCAAACAGCAGGAGAGGCACGCCTACCTCCTCCAACAAGCCAGGGACACGATTGACAAGTGGGAACTTCGAGAGGAGAGGCGACGCTTGGAAAGAGAACGACAGGATGCGGAACGTCGCCAGAGAGAAAGTGGGCTTGACGACAATGTTCTGTTTTACAATATCTGCGCCTTCAGCGGTGGTCTTACAAACGACGCGATTTATCAATGTGTCGACTCCCTCATGTACCTTAAAATCTAGCAAAATTCATAACCATTGTATTCAGTTTGCTTAAAAATAAAGGTTGATAGATACATGTTTCCCATGTTTCAGGAAGGAAGGATTCCTCGTTTCTGAAGAGAAAGCCATGATGGAGCAAGGATTCATTCCCTGGCTGAATGACCAAGTTGATCAAGAAGTCAGGCGACAAAATATGACGAGAGACCTGCTAAATTGTATAAAAATCTATAAAAATTTCACTCACTTTTTTACGCCAACTTAAAATATCTACATAATTATTGCAAATTCCAGCCTTGATTGTGGACATTGTCAATACGCGAGAAGCTCAATTTGCCGAAGGTATTTGGCGAGAAGTTTATGAGGTCGACCCATTCAAAAAATACGATCGCGAGGGGACAGTCCCTCCGCCCACTCCGGGTACGTCGCTTATGGGAGAAAGTGACGAGGAGGAAGTCGACCGCGTCATCCAAAGTAGTGACTATTTGAATACAGAAGAAGACTAGAAAGTTAGATAAATATTGTGTCCCGAATTCATAAAAGTATACACATTTACAAATGAAATGGTCATAATTTATTTAAAAAAGACACATCTTTAAAAAAACGGCACATTTCTTCAGAAATCTTTAAAGTTTAAACAGGTGGTTTATGAAAGTACGACAAATTATTGTTTTTCGAATTTTTCGCCACCACACTCGCCTTCTTCGATTTCCACGTGGCTTTCCACCGTTCAAAATCAATTTTTCCTAAAATTTCCTTCTTCCTTTTGAAAATCGCGTAAGCTCCCATTTCGAAAGTATCGTACTCTTTTCCCACGACTCGCTTAGTAAATTCGTCTAAAGGCAAATTTATTTCAGAGGCCAAATACTCCACGATTTCTCGATCCAGGGGGGAAGTATTATTCTTCGGGTAGTAGCGAACCGATTCTGGTCGACCAGTGATGATCCCATGTTTTCCGTCGCGTTTGTTAGTCAGCCAGACGTGGTTCAAGATTTGAGCTGGAGAAAGTCTCAGTTTCGGGTTTACTTGCATCAAATGTTTCATAAGGTCACGGGCCGATTTTGAAATGTAAGACGGAGTATGGTACACGGCGGACTATAGGAATTTACATACATTTTTCTGTGTACATACATACGAGAACTTCTGTCATGATTTGAATAAATGTACCAAAATTTTGGCTTTTCTGTCTGGCTCCTCAAACGGGAATTTTCCAGTCAACATTGTGTACAACAAAACTCCAAGTGACCACGAGTCGACGGGAGGACCGTCGTAAAATTCTTCCGGTTTAACCAACTCTGGCGCAGCGTACTCAATTGTTCCACAATGAGTTTGGAGCTTGTTCCACCCTCCAGTACCACTTGCATACCGGATTCTCGCACTGAGGTTGAAGTCGATCAATTTCACACTCCCATTTTGGTCGAATAGTACGTTCTCCTGAAAAATCTAATGTCTTCAATTCAGCAAAAAATTATTACAGAATTATTTACCGACCGGTTTCAAATCTCGATGTGCAAAGCCCTTGCAGTGCATGTAGTCAACGGCTGTTGCAATTTGGTAAAATATTTTCTTTGCGAGGCGTTCCTTGATCCGTTTGTACTTGTGGATGACGTCGAATAGGTCTCCACGACAGATTTCGAGCACTAACAAAAGATATCGACCAGAATCAAAGACTTGATAGAGTTTGATGATGTTGGGATGATCGAGCATTTTAAGGGCTTCAATTTCCAACATTGTGCGGCTTAATTCGTTCTGCAAGACGGAAGGAAACTAATAAATTATTGCACATACATAAATCTAAATGCACAACTTTGCAGACACCTTGATCAAGTCTTTCTCGATTTTCTTCACAGCAACAATTTCCCCACTGAATTTATGATATGCGACATACACCCGGCTGAACGTACCCTCGTTTAAGGACTGCACTAATTTGTACCAGGCATAGAAACGTCGTCTGTCCTCCCGTTCGTCTCTGCATTAAAAAATTGACAAAGTTCTTAGTTAACCGATACCACAATTTGATACTCTTTTCAGTAGATAAACAAGCATGTATGTACTTTGTCTTGGCCAGTTCTACTGTATTTGCCATGTTTTTTGAAAGACTTTCGCTCTGTGACGTGTTTGTGGTCAGCGGTATCGTGGATGCAATAGTGTACAAAGATGTATCACAGGACGATGGCATGCTACTACTGCGGACAAGAAGAGATGGTTCATTGTTGTTGAGGTTGCTATTCTGTATTGGAGGCGGAGGAAGTGTTGTTCTTGAGTTTTGATGTATTTTTCTGGGTCTGAGAAACCTATAAAATCTAATGGCTACGTTTGTGATCCATGCTAATTTCCCCTTTCTTTGAGGTCTTCCAGGCGTCTGAGAGCTTTGGGTATTATCCATTTCGACAAGAAAAAGACTGCTGTAACCGGAGGGCGAGACCATTCTTCGTCTTTGCATTATTCTCATCCGTGTAACAGGTACAGGCCAAGCCACGTTGGGTAACGTGGAGTGGAGAATAAAATGATAACTACCAGCATTATTTGACACTTTATGATTCTATGGGGCGCCACGTCATAGAAACCGTTTCAATCAATCGTGATCAGTTATTCCTAGACGGACGGAAATGATGGTTCTATAAGCCCAGACTCTGGCTAAAAATTCGTCTACCTTAGAGATTCCTGTGCTCGAAAAATAAAATATGAAATTCATAAGCATTCATGATTATTGACTAACCATGACACAAACTGTTCGACACAAACCGTTTAAGCCTTGTTTAATTTCTCATTTTAATAATAGTAACAAATTATTACCAATAAGGGTAGAAGTATTTGACCTTTTCTACGTACACACGTATACTACTTATAGTTAGAGTTAAATAATACAATTTACACTTTTCATTTTTTTGAAAATTCGAATGTTTCATGAAGCGTAAAACAATCTCCGTGTCCATTCTTGTTCCGTAGAACCAAAAATATGCTCCCAGTTGTGTATATAGCTGCTAAGATGCAGATCACTACGAACGCTCCTAATCGAATTTTGCTTCCCTGCCAGTACCACAAAAATTTTGCATTAGAACATTAAGAGCAGGCAGCTCTTATGTTTATGTATGACTCACCGGCGCTTCGACCGGATCTTGACCCTTTTCAGGCTCCAGATTTGGCTTGAAACCCCTTTCGTCATTGTTACCCAGACGTGTTTGTGACCCAGAATCATCTGACGCGTATATGGCTGGAATCGGGAAGAACCACCTGCCTCGTTTTTTCTTTAGACCCAAAATATAGTCAATCCACCAGTACTGATACTAAAAAAGGCCCATCAAATTGCAAAACTGATTTTAAATCGAGCATTGCTCCGAAAAACCGAAAGTATTTACCGTGAAGAAGCATTGGAATACGCAGTAAATGATACCCCATGCTCCCACGATCCACTTGATGTGACACGCCAATCCGGAAAAGGAAACTCGATCAGCCAAAATTATGAGGACGAAGCACAAGAAATAAACCAGGTTTCCACCCACAACGTGCACCGCCGCAGGTATGTTGGAGCTTCCGTATTGCGACGGTTTGACAAAGAAACCCATCCCGTATACGACAAATGATAAGTCATACGCCATACAACCCACGTACGAGTGAAAATTCGGTGGCGTCACAGCCGTCCAACCCTGATGGGCGATAATTTCTACGACGAGGGCAACTACGAGGAGCGCTATCATAGCGGTCATGGATATGGCATGGACCTGAAATTAGCACTTTCGTAGTTAACTTGTTATGCCTGATATGCAACTATAAATTTATAGATGACTCACAACTAGCCAGAGCGGAAAGATGAAAATTTTTACATTGACGCATGTCTCTTTGTAATATCGGCCAGAAAACATGCCAAGCGACAGAAAAAATAGGACGGCTGCTATCAGGAACGTCGAATGCAGACGAAGAAGAGCCTTTTGCTCAGGGAGAGGCTGAAGGAATAATTACACAATATATTTAAGATGACAACTCTAGATACACTGACTTATTTATTCATATGCATTACTACCGAGAGTCGTGTTCCAATTGCAATTTTCTTGGACGAGGCGCGGAAATCCGTGTGTTTCAGCAGATTCCCTAACAAAATAAAACCTTTTGCGTATTTTTCAAATCTAGGAATAATTAGTCCAATATATAAACCTGTAATGCCATCCTCTGTCACAGCGTTGCCCCACGCGTACAGCAGAAAATACGGTACTCTGACCAAGTCGTAACTGTGAACCTTCTTGGTGACATTCGGATCTCTCACAAAGATGTGTCTCTTGATGGAAAATCTGCAGTAAAGACCTATATTCCTTCGCTGGTAACGCAACAATTTAACCACACCATTGTGAGAATAATTTCCTCGCTGCAAGATACACAAGTTATAGATTAATAATGCAGAAGTAATGTTCTCAAAATAAGTAGGACCGCGTGATTAAGCTTTGTCGATGTTCGTGCCAACAAAGCTTATCGGTCGGTCCGGCCCAATTTTGAGAACACTAATTGTAAGTACAGGAAACAAATTGTGTATGAAGAAAGAGCTACCATTCTTCCATTTCTGCGCTGTTTCTCAACATTAAAAGAGTGATAAAGGTTCACTCGATCCTTCTCAATTACGCATTCGACAACGTAGGCTGGTCCCTAATGAGAATTAATTAGTGCAATTCCAATAATAATCTAAACAAATCATTTTATTGTTTAAAATGGCACCATGTTGTCTGACTCCGACAGTGCAATTGCCAACCACTTATCCACGGAAGGTTTGAACATTTCCAAGATTAGCTCCTTCTCCAAAACTAGATCTTCACCTTCGGCCGGAGCGTCTCCAAATGTCACCAACATCTCGCAATTACGATTTTCAGGAAGGAAACACTGATTCGCATCCGGCTCTGGTTCGTCTTCATTTTTTGGGGGAGCGATGCAAGCCTTGGATATCGCACATCCTTCATACGCATCGATATCAGGTTGCGGCGTCTAAATTTGGATTCACAATCTTAACTCGCCATTTTTTTATTCAAATTTTCGCGCATACGGTACTCGGAGTTGTTGATCTGCGTCTGAACTGGGTGCCAGTAACAAGGACAACGGGTGGAAGAGTTTTTCTATCTCCATCCTTGAAGAAAACGGGACATTCTTCAGATTCTGCACAATCTGTGACGAACTCTGCCACTTCGATACTCGGATCGTCCATGTTCAAATTAAACCATGAATTGGGATTCGGGTCATGACAGTTGCGCTTCGGAGGATTCTCGGTATTGTCGGAAGGGTCCAAATAATTGTACACTTGTGACCCCAGAACGGAAACTACTTTATGCTGCGCGATGAAGACTTCGGCACTAACCGGAATTAATACAAGAAATTAAAAATTACTTAACTGCTGCAACCATTGGAACGCTGATGCAAATGTGACATCAGCATTTCAAAGGTCAAGGGATTTAAAATACATAGATGTAGTTTTCATATGTATCTCGCCTCTCATGTGTGTCCAAACCATATTGTGTGCAGGAGGAGATCATGAAGGGGAAGAGAGGATAGGAATGAGGAGCACAGAATGATGCCTACGTCATCATGATCATGAGGGCGTAGTTTGTGCATATGTAGCGTAAGTAAAGGCAGTGATCAAGAAGGCGTGGCTTATGTGATCACGTATATATAGAGTAAGCAGAGAGAAGAAGAACAAAGTGTAGTTTTAGATTCAGGATCAGCAGGTTAGTTTTAGTGATCATCAAGATCAAGTTCAAGGTTTTAGATTTTCGAAAACTTAATAATAAGTTCCCGTATGGATAATTAGTTAAAATATAAATTATAGCATTAGCTCTCCCACGTATTTATAATACGAGCATTTCTGTAAAGTCAATATTTTTCAGTCGGTATTGATGTAAATAAATATATTCATAATTCTTATAAAAAAGTGATTTTCCACTACGAATTTATTGCACAACGTCGCAAAGAAAAGGGGCATCCGTGAAAGTGGATGTGAATCAGGACACGCAATCCCATAATAGAATAGGGAGCGTTACACTGCATCTTAATAAATTGCATAAAGTCACAAATTCCTCACTATATTTGGACCGTTTTCGGTGGTGGAACTGGAAAGTCTGGGCGAGCAGGGAGATATTTCCAAATGAGACAAATGTCACCCTCAACTTTCGACCGTACTTTGAAACCGAACATCTGCGGGACTTCCGATGGGAACGTTACCTAAAATATTATTAGCATTCAATATCAATTCCAACATTTTGTAGAACATATTTAATAAAAATTTTACACGTTGAGTATATTTGAAACTTTGTCCATGAATGTAATGGCATGGATAATTTTTTGATGCTTGCACATCGAGGTCGGGGGGTTGAAGTAGGTCATCATTCTCGCAATACTCCTTGACAAACTTTTTGTCCGCATCAAACACGTGGAACGACTTTTCCATCGAACCGATCGGATATCCTTGCTCATTGACGGCTTGAAAGGCGACTTCTGACGCAGAAAGGTCAGCGCAGGCCGGATTTGTATTCGCATGTTGACGAAATTGGACATGCAGCGCGTACGGAAGCGATGTCGGAAAGGCCTTCAATGTGAAGCAATCTTTGAACTTTTGATCAGCGGGTAAAAGCTTGATGTCCTTGCCAAAGGTTAACTTCCTATTGTAAATTGGAACATCGGGGCGAAAATGGCGACATAGAATGAAATCTAACAGGATTGGTGGTTTTAGTGTATTTGTATGAGTAGTTGTACTCAGTGTAGTTGTTGGAGTAGTTGTGGTGGCTGGCGTCGTTGTGGTTGTTGGCGTGGTTGTAGTCGTTGGCGTAGTTGTAGTCGTCGGCGTAGTTGTGGTTCTTGAAGTAGTTGTTGGAATAGTTGTATTTATTGGTGTAGTTGTAGTCGTTTGTGTAGTTGTGGTTGTTGGCGTAGTTGTAGTTGTAGGTGTAGTTGTGGTTGTAGGAGTTGTTGTAGTCGTTGGCGTAGTTGGTTGAGGTTTAAAAAGGCCTCTGCAATTGTCCGTATTTTGCCAAGTTTTGTACAGTTGGTGAATATGCACATCTGGCTTTTGTATCTCCTTTGGTGTTTCCCGAATTGTTTCTCTACCTTGGTCAATCTTCGCTTCATAGACGGGTGATCGTATAACGACAACTTCCGGATAAAACCAGGCAAGAGGATAAGACAAAGGAACCTTGATATCTTTTCCTGTGTGTCTGATAATCTGTACCTCGGCACTGAGAAATTACGAGAAATTTAAAACAACTCACAAATGCAATGTTTTAAAGGAATTTACTGAAATTGAAAGTTTTTGACAAATTCCGATCTCAAGTAGTTCGCTTTAAACTTCAAGATCCACGATATTCCGTCGCATCGTGAAGCACTCTTTGTTCGGGTCAGTGAACCCTAGCTTCCAAAAGTCATGGTTTTCGGACCGTATGTATTTTTTCTAATTTTCAAGGACAAAAATTCTCAAATATGCATAACTCGAAAAAATATGCGTCAAACTTATACCGGATCTATCTTTTCGTAGCCTGGTGGTTTTTGACATATCTCTGATCCATATGTTGTGTCGTGTATAACTCTGGCTTTATTATTATCTATACAAGCATTCGGATTAGGACAATCTTTTGGTCCATCTGGAAGCCACTTTCCGAAAGGAAGACCCACTGAATCCAATGCCGTAATGGCCCCACAATTTCCAAACACCGGTTTCTGCCTATATTTGACATTGCCCACTTGTTTGGTGTACCGACAATTTTTTTCTTTCAGCCACAACCGCACCCATATTTTATCGGGCTTTTCAAAAGCATACATTTTCAACTCATAACAGTCATCCATAGGGTCCGATGGATAATAGGAATTGCGCAAATCGCGAATTGGCAGCAGAGGTTTATCTAATTGTAAGCTGGGTTCATAGCCGGTTGAACGTGCGTATTTCTTCTTCGTACAACGACACATATCCGTATAATAAGTGGGCCGATCTTGGAGTTCGTATTCGTCATTGGCATTTTCGTTCACTCTTTTTACTCGTTTGCAATTGTCCTGTTCTGCATAGGACCATTCCATCCAATTCCGTTCTGTCAAACTTGTCCATCTCGCAGCCACGCCGTCAACTCTAGTTTTAATTTCCGCCCTAGACAAAATATGCATAGAAATCCTTACGTAAATTAAGCAGCCCCATGATTTGATGATTTGATATTATATTTTTTTTCATACACAAAATCCAATTTTAGTGTGTCGCCTCCATCCGGGAGCAATTGAGTGATCAAATCATCGTTCGGTTGATATTCCAAGTAGAAACAGATTACAGCTTGCTGGGTATATTTATCTGGCTCTCGGTCTTTAAGATCCGTTTCTCCAGATGAAAGATGTGTGTCGAAGACGACAATGCTTTCAGTCTTATTCTCCGCGGACTCGGTTGATCCTGTGCAGCAGAGTTGATTTCAGTGAAATGCAGGGCCAGGTTTTCAGTAAAATGACATGAATTGTGAGTGAGATTACCCAATGGTAGACGTTTCCCGGAATGGCGGCATAAAAAACGGAAATTTTAGGAATATTGTAAGGGAAGGTGTGGTACTTTATCTTTGGAGACAGCGTATTCCCAGAGCAAGCCTTTTGCTGTAAAACCGTGTCATCAAGATTTTGGACGTGGCGACTAGATTTGTTTGTGTCGTCATAATCATAGCTTCCGACCGGGAAGCGATCCTCCGCCAGTGTCATCTTCCCTGCTAAAACTGCAAATTGAAGTTTGTCCAGGTATATTTTGGTGCATTCGTCCGTCGTATTCTTGAGCAAGGAGATGTGAAATACGTTCGGCTGTCTGTCAACGAGAGGGGTTTTGTCATTCATGGGAATGTAGGATAACTCGTAACATCTTGATGCTAAAGCATCGAAGTCAGGGTCTGGAGGCTGATTTGGTGGGAATTCGTGGACAATTGTTCCGCCTTTCAATTCTAGGTCTTTCAGGTTGTAGCCATACTTAGTTCCGGGGACAAGCTTGAAAATCAGCGATGTAAGAATGATAAACAAGCTGATTGTGGTCATTTTGATTACTCGAAATGAGTTTCGAAGCCTCAATGTATGAAGCTGATGGAAATTTGGCTATTATATTTTCCAGACGTTATGATTTTGCGCAAAATTATTTGACACTTGATCACTCTATAAGAGAGGAGAATTAAATTGTGCAAGTAAAATCGTGTCTTTGTAATCGAGTTGTCCCCAAAAATATATGTTTCTATGAAGAAATTGTATTTGATATTTCAAATGGGAATGCGGCTTCAAGTATTCGAGCATCTCATTTACACATAGATTACTAGCAAGCCTCTTCGCTGCTATATGGCTCAGCTGCGAAACGGCATTTATAATTCCACCCGTACCCCTTCCCCAAGCCACCAAAAATCCTCCCCTACCCCCACCCCCTAACCCCCACCTAAATCCACCCCACAATTTTTATGGGGCAAAGTGAGATTTTATTTCATATTAAGGTATCGTTCGTAATTAGCGAGCGAAGCAAGCAGGTTAGGTTCAACAAGGTACGAGAAAAGTGTGGAATGACTAACTAACGCTAACTAACCTAACTAGCTAGCACAGCTACCTAGGATAGCTACCTAGCAGAACTACCTAGCATATCTATCTAGCAGAGTTTCCTAGGATAATTAGGTAGCAGAGCTACCTAAGGCCCAGTTTAAGTTTGACAAATCAATAAAAATTGTCGAACATTTCCAAAATGAATTTCGAGCTTGACAAGCATAAATATGCAAAAACTCTCATAAATTTAGGTGTAAATTAATTATAGTTTACATCTTAGTTACTAATTTTTCATGCAATTTTTTAGGAGCAAATTGACAAACGGGGGCACTGCCACCGGTCCAACGGATGAACTTTTTCATTCAATTTTTGAAAAAATTGATTCCTGAGACCCATGTCTTTGCTAAGTGAAGCCTGATTTCGCAGATATTAAATTCCTTGCTCGCTGAGAGCAATTAAAAAGCAAAATTGGCCATTTTCGATGCTTGTACTACGCGTTTGGTAGTACAAATCGAATGGAAAGGCTTCACTTAGCAAAGACATAGGTCTCGGGCACTATCTTTTTCAAAAATTGAATGAAAAAGTTCATCCGTTGGACCGGTGGCAGTGCCCCCGTTTGTCAATTTGCTCCTAAAAAATTGCATGAAAAATTAGTAACTAAGATGTAAACTATAATTAATTTACACCTAAATTTATGAGAGTTTTTGCATATTTATGCTTGTCAAGTTCGAAATTCATTTTGGAAATGTTCGACAATTTGTATTGATTTGTCAAACTTAAACTGGGCCCCAAGTTGTATATAGCGTAGCTAGGTTAAGCTGTATCCATAGTCCGTGATTTGTTCATGATTTCGTCATGATTTGATGGTTTCTCGCATCCATACTCCATAACTTTCCAAAAATTATTTGATTCCGATTTTCTGATTGGTCGATATTTTAAATTGTTATGGTGATTAACATGCTGAAATTATGAACCCGTGAAAGCATCACCAAATCACGAACAAATCACGGACTATGGATGTAGCTATAATTAGCTAAGCATTCTGCACTTTTCTCGTACCTAGCTGAACCTACCCTGCTCGCTTCGCTCGCTAATTACGAACGGTACCCCAGTATGAAATAAAATCTAACATTGCCCCAAGGTATCTCACGTTGCCCCATAAAAATTGTGGGGTGGATTTAGGTGGGGGTTAGGGGTGTATTGGGGTGGGGGTAGGGGAGGATTTTTGGTGGCTTGGGGAAGGGGTACGGGTGGAATTATAAATGCCGTTTCGCAGCTGAGCCATATAGCAGCGAAGAGGCTTGATTACTAGTAGTAGTAGAATAATTATTTTACGAAATGTTACATACAAAAACCTTGATGATTTCGGACGCCTATCCGTTTTTCCAGCCCACTAATGACTAAAATCGGGGTTTTCCTCTACTCCCCAAATGTATTTAATATTTCATGAATATGTTTGTCTTTCATTCAGGTGTTGACAAGTGGCATTAAAAAAATGAACTTTTGTTTGAATTGATTATTTTATTTTTTATTATTTTATTCCCAACACCAAAAGTTAAGCTTAATAAGAGCATGTTTGAACTCAGTTCGGATGAGATTTTATTAATATCCGTGGCCATAACCGATGCCACCACCCCCACTTCCACCCCCATAAATAGCCCCTCCGCCCCCAAATCCCCCTTGATGCTGCTGTCCATAACCCCCTCCTTGATGGTGACTATTGTGATGGTTGTGTCCCCCCTGATCCCCGTAATGTTGGGAATGTCCGTGCGACCCGTGCTGGCCGTGGTTCGATTTCTGTAAATCATGTTCATCTTAAAACCCTCAAAATAACCATAATTTCTATTTCTTTACGTGTCCCTTATGTTGATCATCATGGTGTCCTCGTTGGTAGTGCCCCTGTCGAATAAATTGGTTATTTTTTACAATTATGCAGTAATTTCATTGACCAAACCTGATCTCCGTGATGATTTTGATTATGTCCTTCGTCATGATGTTGACCGTAATATTTCTTTCCGCCATGCGAATCGTGATGCTGTCCATGCTCACCGTGTTTGGCATGATGGCCTGTAATTGAAGATAAGCTTTAGTTGAAAACAGATATTATTTAGGAGGTAGCGCTAATGCCAAACAACGAGGAAAATTCAATTAGAATTTCGCAATTTACTAAACCAGACTTTGCTGAAATTCAATTATTGACCTCTGACCCCCAAGGTCACGAGGGGATTGCAAAAGAAATGTGGTACATACTATTATTTACAACTTCAAACTGTGCTTCAAGAGTTAGCACACAAACGGGCAGACGGACCGACAAAACGTTTGCTTAAAGTAGATATGGCATATTGCTACTTGATAATATCTTATCATATCGATAACCCCTCTCCTTATCCTCCTTCCAACTTTGTACTACCTTCACTGTGATAATCGTCATAGAACGAGCTCTGCTTTCCATACTCTTCCTTGTGATACACGTTGTGAAACCCTTTCGTCGAATGTCCTTTTTTGTGGTGACCTTTCTGCCCGTGTCGTGCCCCTTTGGACGCTTTGCTCCCGTGATGTCGTCCCCCGTAATGCTGCCCTCCTGACTTGTGTCCCTTCGACGATCCACCCTTGTTCCCGTAATGACCTTTCTTCCCCGCCTTGTTATAATGCCCTTTGTTCCCTTTGCTATAACCGTGTTGGGAGTGGTGACCTTCCTGACCTTTGTGCCCTTTTTTGGCGTGATGTCCACTATCATAGTGTCCGCCATTTGCATTTCCGTAGTGTTCGGCGCCCCCGTAACTGGGAATAAATAGAGAATTATCCCTTCAACTTTCACCGGATATTGATAAGCAATTGATGACTTACCCTCCGTCATGTCCATATCCACCACCACCTCCCCCACCTCCACCATATCTAAAAATTACATTACAAATTGTAAATCATATCATATCGCCCCAAAATCAAATGTCTCAACATTACCCCACTTCTCCACCCCCTTCATGTCCATATCCTGTCGCTGAAGCCTTCAAATCCTTCCCTGGATGGGCCACAACTGTTCTCGAACGTCGCGACTCTTGCACTTCTGGATGATAAGTGGCATCATTCTGACGCTTAACTTTTTGCGGTGGTATCAACTCCGTCTCATTATTAACTTTTTCCTTTCCAGAAGCGTCCACTTGTAACTCACTTTCTCCTGAGGGGAAATCCTCAAAACTTCCACTGTCACCACCACCACTGACATTTTCCTCTAACGAATATCCCTCTACAGAAGCAAAGTCGCCCCCAATGAAAATTTGGGGTGCACTTTTCTCATTATTCAAAGTTTTGTTCTCTGAAGTTGAAGATGAAGACGTCAGAAATTCCAGCAGGGTTTTTGGACTGACGCTACCCTCATCGACACCCGTTTCTAGGGGGTTCCCACCCTCCACAACGATCACAGCCACACCCAACACACTTGAAATAAATAAACTGCCCAGTAGCAGCAGGATTAAATGGGACGTTCCCATTTCACTCCGTGCCTAAAAATCTAGACTGCCGTATTTCGTCGTGCTTGTGCTTACCATTCAGTATCAAACATGGTAATGATTAGGTAGCAAAGGTGTCCCCGTGTTTATATCATATCAATTCATTGTTGGATTGGAGATGTGGTTTTGCAGTGACTCTGCACAAGGGGATCGAGTGACTTAACTTGAGGCAATGTGAGATTTATGCACTAAAAGATGTGGTACAATTCCATATTTATCTATAGCATATCATATCCCTTGATTTTAATTCCATCTTCTGAAACGTTACCTTTTTTATGAAAAGTAAACTTATTTATCTCAAATTATGACATTTATACAAGATGGGCCCACAAAGTAAGTAGTAAAAAAACACAAAAACCAGTGGTATCCGTTCAAGCGTTTAAAATCGCTGAAATATTCCATCTTATTTTTTGTGCACACAAATCCAATTCCACCTAAAATAGGGGACCTTCAATCAATCCAAAGTTCTCTTGTACCAATTTATCAGGCAGAAAGTGTATTAAAGCTTAAAGTTCATGTTGCAAGATATGTGATGAAATATTAATCAAAATGGGGTAATCGTCAATTTAAAATAAATTGAGTTATCATTGTACTTGCTCCATTTCTCAATTTCAGCGTGACGAATCGGAGATTCGGATGGTAGTAAATATATGATTTTTTACACACCTGCTAATTAATTAACCAGATTATGATAAAAAATAAGTCATCAAAAAATATTCAAAAATGTCTTCAAAAATTTTTGCAGGTACCCTTTCTTAATTGAGCTGTTATAAAATACGTGTTTTTATCAAAATCTCAAAGTCTCATGTTCTTTTGTCTCGCATTCTTTCTTTCATTCAACACAATTCAACAAGCATGCAGAATTCGCTATCATGAAATAATTCAATTTCATAACAATTTCCGCTTGATTTACACTCAGTACTAACAAAAAATTATACAACAATTTTTTTACATTTGAGAAAACTTGTCACCTTGTATCAGATTTGGTCGTTCGTATCAATCATGTCATGAATATGTTTGGATGGAGATTTTACGATGCATTGTATGTGACTAATATTTTTTGGATGAGAATTTTGAAGAAAAGGGTTCTACGGATCAATTGAGTCAAGTCAGAACGAATTCAATTTGTTGACCAACCTTGTCACGTGACTTTAGACAAAGAGGATACACTAAATGTTTATCTTTACGACGAGCCATTAACAAAAAGATGATGTTGTTTACGGGTCAGTCATAAGAGCGGAGATGTTGTCTCTCTCTGAAATCAATTTTTCATAATTTTTAGGTCAAGAATCGAAATTATGTGTTGTAAATTTCATTTTTCTCCAAAGTTCTCAAAAAACCTAAATACGTAAGTGAATGATTTAATCAAAGATGTGCTCACGAATTCGAGCTTTTACGCACAAAAAGTATTTTTAAATGAAGTAACAAAGCGATATCATTTCATGCGTCGGCAGTCTTTTGTTCCCAATTAACATTTTAAGTCTGGTCCATGTGTGGGCCAGACTTTTGTCAAAAGTCTGGGCCAAGTACAGTTTTGAAATCGGGGGAATGACCAGTGGCGGACTTGCAATCCGGACTTCAGCCTGCAATGATTCAGACGTGGCCCTGACTTATGCCGTACTTCTTACAACTAGGGTCCAGAGCTTCAACAGGCCTGGCCCTAGTGTGGATTCCTACTCTGGTTAAAGTTTGGCCCTGCTTTGCATCCTGGCTGATGGGCTTATTTAAGCCTGACTTGGGCCAAACTTGTAATTTCATGCAGGGACCATTGATGCAAATACAGTGATGGGCCACACACATTTCTTTTTTATAATTTTATTTCATTACAATAAAAATTGTACATTTTCAACATTTTCATTTACAACAATGGCATACATACAAATTCATCGTTAAGTAACATTAGATAACCCTTATTAATGATTGAATTACATTCAAACTCTCCAGAAATTACGCTTAGATTCTTAACAATGAATGAGTCTAATTTATGACTACTGACGGGAAAATAATAAAAATCATGCTTCTTTAAATATCTTTTACCCAAAAACTTGTTATTGTCAATAAAACATTCAATTTAAACAATTTCTCCCGAGGAAAGAAATGCTACATTATTACCCTTTTTAACTGAAAACTGTTTTCCAGCGAAAACCTGCCTATTATTCAATTCTAAATTGTTATCGTTTTCAAAATCGAAACAGTTTCTCTCTTCAATTCGATTAATTGCTTGTTCTAATGGCAAATTTTTGGCTCGTAATAGCCTCTTTAAAATTTGCATGTAATTCTCAAAAGGAAATGCGCTCACATTGTCAAGTTTTCCATAAATTAATGCATCATCGGGTATATGAATGACAGAGTGCATGTTAAATAATCTTCACCATATAAACCACTAATCTTAGAAACAAATTCAATTAAAAGTTTTCTCGAGAGTTCGATCCATTCTATAGAATTTGCAAGACTAGACAACAATATTCGCATGCTACAATGCAAAAGCATGAAATGGTCAAAAAGTTTTGACGGCAGCAAACTTTTTAAGCACACAGGTCCTGTGTATAGTAAAAATTGACCCAGCTCGGTTGCTTTGTAATGGTCAATTTCTCTTATGCATCTCGGTTTTCTACAAAATTCAGAGGGAGTAAAAAAAGATATATTTCTAAGATTTGTACTAATCTGATTAATGGTACTACAGCTTAATTTTATTCGTTTTTGAAGAGGGCTACGAAGCCAACTAAAAATTAATTTTCTAATAATTCCAAGACACACCAGATGCATATAATCAAGGGGTACTTGGCTGATCATCCCCAATTCTATTTCAGCAAATGGGGATCGCTCAGAAGCGTGCGCGCTGTCAAAAAAAGTTTCGTTTGTTCTTTGAACTGCATCGATTTCTGGAAAAACTACCTTTCCCATCCATTTTCCTTTTTGACAACAACGCTCACATCCATAGTACAAAAGACGTTAGGACATGGTTTTGACGAATTTGCGGGTGAATATCTCTGGCGGGGAGTTGAATTTTGAACTGATTTTTGGTCAGTTGCAAGATAATACTCTCAAAAAGATATATTTAAAATTTTAGGCCGATAGCTTTATAAATGCCCCCTCCAGTGCCCCCAGAGTTGGAAGGAGCCAAAAAAACACTTTCCAAACTGAATTTCTCATATAGCATGATAACCTATGAGGTCAGAGGTGAATGATTGTTAATATTACAACGCTAGATAATCATTGCATGTAATAATAAAAGAATCTACATCAATTGCATAACGTTGGGCCTCCATCGTCGCTGATACTTTTTCATGAAAATTGATAAATCGGACCGTGCACAGGAAAATTGACCTGCTGACCTTGAAAGCGGACCCACTCGGTCAAATGAAGATTGAGGGCAAAGCTCAAAGTGTCCCAAAAAATATTAAATTAAACAGTGATGATTTTGTGTAAACAGTTCTGGAGAACGACCCTAGCTAATCAGCTGTCGCGGAATCCTAAAAACTCGTGAACTTATTTGGAAAATTAATGGTCAATTTTTTTCGAAAATAAATTTTACTAATCTTTTTGTGTCCCCTACTGCAGAACTATTTTATCTACAAGGTACAAGTGACAAAATAATAAAATTATTGCGTTTTGGTTAGTTAGATTATTTCTGAAGTTCGACATCGAAAACGACGGGAACTTTTCCAAAAAATTTATAAGGTCTGATGAAAACTCAGTCCGTGGGGTTTAACCACTTATCAAAATTGTGTCAAAAGTACTTACAGTGCAATATACTATATGTACCTTGGATAAAAATCACGTTAGGGATTTTTAGCATCAAAGTCGTAAAATGTGGGGGCCTTAAAAGTCGAGGAGTTGCGTTCACGAGAGTATTCCATTAGGACAAGTATGAAGCTAGACTACAAAAGGGACTTAAAAGATAAGCATGAGATAAAAGTGGTTTTATATAGTGAAAAACATGCTAAGTCCCTTGATAATAGTCGCAAAGACGAATTTTGTATCAGGACCTAATAAACAAATCATTTGTTCAACGTCATTTTTTAAGAACACTGGTTTGGAAAACTAAAAAAGGACACCTCTCCAAATTTGACCTTGCCTCATTTCGCAGAGTACACAAAATCGGAAGCCAGATATGCTTACCTATAGTTTGAGACATAGGCTTTCACATAAAACAAGTTAGAAATCTCTACGACTAAAAACCATCCCGCAATTAAGGTATGAATTCGTCAAAACCATGTCCTAACGCCTTTTGTATGCGTTAAAACCATTGCACATTTTTAAAAAGGATCGAGCTGGAGCATCAGCAATAAGGCATTTCACATTTAATGTATACTTATTATCTTTGATGCTGATACCGTTATTTTTGATGTCCGACATTTCATTAACAAAGTCTTGTAAGAACAATTTCAGTGATCCTGGTTTTGAACTACCGAAATACAGTGCTATTACGTAAGGATTAGGTGACTGACATTTATCGAAAAGCGCTAAAATTGGCCAAAATTGACTTTTGCTACTTCTAGAGATTGGTAGCCCATCAATTCCAATACTCATTAACTTAATTGAACTAGTATCTTCCCACCCTCTAGTATTCGCTATTTCAAAAGCTTTTCGAATCCCAAAATACTTAAATTTTCCGGTTCCTAAACTAACTGGGCTGCTATACTTTGGAGTCCTAAACAGTGTGCGAAGATCTTTTGGTAAACTACTTCCACATTTTTCATCCCTTAAAATGTGAAGAAGTTCCTTCATTGCGACATGAGTAATGTTATTATTTAATCCCCACCTTGCTAACTTATTCTTAAATGCCAAAGATTTTGAAAAACTGTCCTCTTCGTCTTCAGACTCATCGTCCGTGTCTGGTGGGCAAAATTCATCAAATTCAACTTCACTATTCATCATTCCAGTTGAAATTGTTGGAATTGAATGTTCTATATTAGTACAAATCTCACTACTAGAACTTACATTACCACTAATATTACTACTTTTGTCTAAACTAAACTTATTAAGAATACTGGCCACCTCGGCTTTTCTTTTGCGGTACTTCGTTGTTTTAGATGCATCCATTATGTTAATCTATTGTTGTTGTCCAGGTGTTATTTTGTCCTTACGTCGCCGATCCCGGCCACCGTCACGGTCTTTAGCGTTTGAAAACCACCGTGTTGCCTCAATTTCCACGTCCTTCTGCGTGTTGTTGGAGCAGCGGGGATTTTTTAAAATGGCATCTAAAATTTATCAAAACCAGAATTGGTGATTTTTTTACGCTGAACTTATTAAACGTTAATAATTACCAACTATGATGCTAAAGAGAGCAAGCATATTAAAAGCAAATTTGTTGCTCTTTCCGGCTAGAGACGTCTGCTCTGCTATCTTCTGTCCAAAGACTGCTGTCAGTACTCGCTCTACTGTATCCTTGATTTCAAGTCCACCGATTTTCACAATTTTCGTCAGCTAATCATACATATACTGCACGAATTTAAATAAAACACAATTGTATAAATAAAATTGAATACTGTCTACCAATGACTTTCTTGCCGAACGATCATGCAATTTCAACTCTATTTCTTCAAGTTGGGCTTCAGTATTTAACGGAAGTATGAATTCTTCTTCCGTATCTGTAGATTCGCACCCTGCCGCAATTGCTGATACCTGGGCTGATATTCTAGATAATTCTGCTTTGATGTCGACAAGATAACTCAAAACGTTGACCTCAAAACCTGGAAATGAAAATAATATTAACATACTTAAGATAATAGCTACATATAAAAATGGTGTAATTATTAACCTTGACTTATAACAGTAAGAGGATTTGTGAAAGTATAATTTAATTGCGATTCGTCTCCATCATCACCGTCGGCACCAGTAATGTTGAAATTCAAGATTGGGCTGGATGAAGGTGCTAAAAAAAAGTTTAATTTAATATAACTTGGCCATTTTTAAATGACACTTAATTTAATGTCGCTTACTTGTGCTGCGTTCTTCGACACGATTCAGTGTGGCATTGCCATGTGGACTTTTATCTGGAACGTCTTTGTCAAAATTCGCTTGAAACTCGGCCTCACTATCGGACGAATCTTGCTGTGCTTTTGAGTTGGCTCTGCTGACCGTAGGAATGGATGATGGCGAACCTTCCTCCTCGCTAGGGCTCGTCAGGGTCCTGGCCTCGTCGGCGTTTGCACTAGCCTTTGAATACTCGTCTGTAGAGTAAATTCATGTGCTTAAATATAAATTAAGTATATTCGCCACCATATTTAAAATTTTTGCTTACCACTCCCGAGCCCTTTATAAATTTTTACAGGGAAACTGGACCAATCCTTCCCTGGAGCACTATTTCCATCTTTTACGACAGTAGCAGCGTTAGGGCCTTTGGGCCATTTGCAAAAGATCCTACCTTTCTCCTCTGTCAGCCAAGTAGTCGGGACTGCGGCTACACTTTTTTCTTCAGGAAAAAAAACGACGGAAAATTTGGTGGAGAGACGTTGAGCCATTGCGCTCGAGGACTGGTAGAAACTGGAGAAAATAATGCCGTGTTGAATATAACTGGTCAAACTTTCACCCAGGGATGGGCCAGAGTGGATTTTTTTAAATCAGGTACAAGTGTGGTCCGGGTACGCGCCTGACTTGTTTCTCGGGTTTCCCCCAGACTTTCCCCTGAGCCGAGAAGCTTGGCAAGGGCCAACCCTGGCTCATGTCCGAGAGTTCAAGTTCGGCTCAAGTCAGACTAGAAACGGACGGGCCAGTATAACAAATACGGGGTTTAGCCATATCAGTTCATCCTGACCTGAATCGAGTCAGGGCCAAAGAACCATCCCCCTTGGTTAAAGTAGTCCGTCAATCCTACTTCCCAGGACCATCACAGAGTTACCTTTCTGACCCCCAAAATCTTGTGCCAGACTTGCCGGAGATAATCCTAGTATGGGCCAGACTTACATGTTACTTGGGTTCACACCATTTTTTTCTGCAATTGTAAAAAACAGCAATACAAATCTCAAAATCAAGTTGACATGAGTTTAAGAACTTCCTATCCACGCAATGTTTCAGTTTCATCTTGCTTGCACAAAATTGTACCAAAAACAAGTTGCATTTTATGAAAATTATACCGAATCCGGTTTTCTGTCGGTAATTGCTCGTTATTAAATTCCTGCTAATTGCGTATGTGCAAGTAAGAAACATCGGCATTTACTCGACTTCCTGATTTTTTCACCTTGATAAGCTTTTGTCACATTTTGTTTAAGCGAGTCAACTTACATCACCTCCAATTCTAAAAATATCTGTGTTGCTTGTTGTAACCCGATGGCATTGACTTTGTCACACCAATTCAAGCCATTGTATTTGCCTTATAATATGCATCATGAGGAGATGGGTGTTTTTAATCTTTTATTTATTTTCAGCATTTTTAGCTCACTGGATCTACAAAGCTCTACAAGTAAATATGTATGGTTAACAATAAAGGAAAGACAATTTTAAAGGTACTATGATGATAAGACTTCTATATCTACAAAGTCGTCGTCGTCATCAACTTTACCTATTGCTTTAGGTCGAGGGGTAGGTAGTTAGGTAGTTAGTTCCAGTTGGTTAGGCAGGATTCGCTTCGATTATATCGCGATTCTATTATTCTATGTAATATCACTAAATTGTATTATTCATACTAAAACTCCTTCATACCTATACTTCTCCTTTCAATTAGATGTATACCAATTTCTTGGTAGGTAAGTACAAATGAGTCTGTAAGTCATAAATAACATTGGGTAACAAAGAAAATTCTCGATAATTGTTGTAAATTATTATGCGTCCTTGTTGTAAAATGGAAACTTAACTTGCGGTTATAAAACTCATACCTCAAACAAACTGCAGAAAATCACATAACAAATTTTACTTGGCACGAATCAAAAAAACTGTCTCAATCTCAACAATAATAATCAGTCAGCAGAATTATACACATAATAAACCGTCGCAAACGCGCATACGGAAGTAGCTTCAGACTACTTCACTCCAAGCACTCCCACGACATCGCGGGAACACTTGATTTTACTGTATTTCATCTATACATTCAATTTTTTCAAAAATCTCATTTTGCCCCGACCACACCCCCTAGTGACGAGGGGGTGTGGCACAACTCGGGAGCACTTGATTTTACTGTATTTCATCTATGCATTCAATTTTTTCAAAAATCTCATTTTGCCCCGACCACACCCCCTGGCGCCCGGGGGGTGTGGCACAACGGGGGAACTCAAAATTTCACTCCATTTCATCCATAGATTCAATTGCACTAAAAATCTCATTTTGCCCCGACCACACCCCCTGGCGACCGGGGGTGTGGTCCGGTTGCACCCAAAAGTTGATAGGATCCTCCCCCTGGGGTATTATGTATGATGGCTAAAACCGATTTCGATTATCTTTATCCGTTCTCCCGTTATCCTGCTGACAGACAGACAGACAGACAAAGTCTTCACATAAAGTAGCTGAAGCTACTTAATAATTGTAATAAAGAGGACAAACAAAATTGAAAGAAAAGAACACAATAAAATTTGTCAAACCCTTTTACATACTTTGGTTGGGCTGGATCAGATCATATTGCATCACAAAATTATGGTTTTCAGTTTGTACTGAACCGTTCAATGAACAAGATGGTTAAGTTTTAGGTTATTATGTTATTCTATAAATTATTATGACACTTCAATATCAATGCATAAACAGCTTATAATAATATCAATGCATAAACAGCTTATAATAATATCAATGCAAGGAATAAACTAAAAACGGAAGCACTCGGAGTCGTCAAGTTTAAAACACAGAAGCTCGAGGAATTAAATTGGAGTAAGAATAATAAAGTCTAAGTCAGTTTTGCATAATATTGCATCAATTATTGCGTTGCAATCTCTCATCATTCTATGGCATCAAAAGTCCAGTGTGTGGGTCAATTCCAGTAATGGTGGATTTGGGGTCGGGATAAAAAGAGCTCCACTGCGTATGGGAGCAGAGTGACGTTTCCAGATTTTCAAAAGAATCCTGCATTTCTTTTTCGTGGGATTCGTACTGATTCTTAAAATCTCCAGTAGAGTCACTAATTTTTAACTTCCAGCTTGACAGAGTTTTATAATCGACGCGTTTCTCCAAACAAAAATCTTGAAGTGTATATTTCCTGCGACGAAAAAGACATAATTTTTAAAACGGCTCGATTTTTTATTTTTATTTGCATGAGAGATATTTCATTTACTTACCTCGAAGTAAGATCATCAATTTTTAATTGCAAATCATGACTAGAAGAAGTAAGAGTTCCGCGCATATCAGATTCATCGAACTCTTCTGAATTTACAAATCTGAAATTTATAGCAAACAAATTAAATACACACCTATACTTATTATATATTTGACTTTGATAACAAAAAATAATAGATCACTTAATTACCTCCTATCTGAAAGTGATATTATGTCTCCCTGATAAATTTCTAACGGCAAAACCAAAAACTTCACCCTATAGAGTAAGTCTCGGTCCACAGTAAATATTTTTACCGTCCAAGTTCCGGGGACTAACGGATGCTTCAGTGTCGGTTTTATGAAATTTGCCTTCAATAAAAAAAATAATAAGGTATTGCTATCAACAATTAAATATCATTATGAAAGTGCAATACCGTTGATCCATCAGACGCAGAAACATTGGTAACAGAGCGAACTACGTTGTGAGGATCAATCCAAGCAACAGAAATGTTAAAAGTTTCATCAGTGTTGACACTGTACGTTAAAGTAGGCTCGCTAAAAGGTCCCAGGGCTCCAGCAAAATTTCGAAAAATCTGTTCCTTCTGCTCGTAATCGCTCCCAACTTTCAAACCCTATTTTAGAGTGACAAAGTTTTTTTTAGAAAAATATATAAGTATTTACCACTATTGAGTAATTACCTGTAATTTATTTTGAAATTCCAACGTTCTACGATTTACTGCACCAGCCTCAACATTCGTTTCCTGCCTGAACCAAGCCTCCAAACCAAATGCCAACTCTTCTCCATGCTCATCCACAGTTGTTGCATGAAACTTTGCTAAAATTCCTTCCAGTTGATCTTCATGGTTATATGCCGTTATTTCAATCAGGTCAATTCCGAACGTGGAAAAGATATTCCTATCCAAACTGGGATCTTCTGATGACAATGACGGAAAACATCGGAGCAGAAAACGCTTGGCAGAAATTCTACTCAAAGATTGTCCCTGTAAAAAATATAGCATAACAAATCATTACAAAATGTTCAGATATTAACTAAAATATAAAATCAGAAAAATTTGTAGTACCAAAGTGACTGTAGCATCATCAGGTTTCGGTGATAGGTCATGATGATGGTACAAACTGAGCCAAAATCGGTCCATGGTTGGATAATTCTTCTCAAATCGTTCTGGATACAACCAGCCTTCGAGTTGATTAATTATCCCTTGGTTTACGATGGGTTCAAACTTTCTCCCAAAAAATAAGAGCCGAGCGTCTGTAAGCTGAACCAACCAAAGGATAAAATAAAGTATAACATATTACGAATTTACTAAATTATTTAAAATTTCTTGTTACCTGAAGTCTACTCCAATCTGCGAGTCGAAAATCGTTCGGTGAACATCCACACCAGTCAACTATATTCCGATATTGACATTTACACCCAAGTTTTCGTCTCCAGTTTGTCACATGCAAATTATTATCAACAAAAGTGTCGCACATTTCAGAATTTCTTAGCAAAATGTGGAAGAAACTCTGAAAATACATAATAATCCATCTTACTAAAGCTGAAATTAGTTTTGGCGAAATTTTATAATCATGAGGTTTTTACTTCAGCAGGTAGAAGAGTGTGTTTGAAAACAATTTTCAGTCCGGCTACCAATTCATCTTCCGATTCAACCGTGTATTTCACAAAATCTCGATGGAGGGCAATCCAGTCACTACCTCCGTCCATCAGGATTCCAGTGGGCAATTTTCTATCCCCGACTCTCCACATGCGGTACTCACACTCGTCAAATGTTTTATCCAGCCCTTGCTTCTGAATAAATTTTTGAACATCTCTGCCATGACTTTTCAAAAAATTCTTTCCATTATTTATGCTTAAAAAGTACTCCAGCTTGCTTGTCGTCCTGAAAAAAAAACACAGAAAATTAAAATCTGTCAAAGAAAGTGTTATGTATCTAAATGATTTGAAATTACTTACTTTAACGGGAAATCCGATTCACTTAAATTAATGACATAGTCCCACTCCCAGTCTTTGTGGTTCACTACGAGGTCTCTCATCCCTTCCAAAAGAATAGTCAGCAAACTTGCACCGCCCCAAATTGTGCCACGGCGTTTGGTCATGAATTTGAAATTATTGGGTAGTTTGTGCGATAAAGACAAGAGCTCTCGGTACAAGTAATCTTGCCTCTGGGATTCAATGGTTAATTATTATTATGTACATATTATTATTGGCGCATATACCGGACAATATTGTATGTCTTACCGAATCGACGTGGATGTAAAAGTAATGCTTTTCATGAAATAGCGCTTTAATTAGTCGAAAGACTTGTCTGATCGATCTACCTGCAGGTTATCACATTTGAAAAATGTTAAGTATTCGTTTAAGGATTCGTGTGCAATTCTCGTAAACACAAGCCCGATATATTATTTAATAAACTTGCATTACCATTTAATGTCAAGAAAAAAACAATCCTTGCAGGTTTTGAAACCATTGTCAAATCTGGATCGTAATCTTCCAATCCAATAACATTTGATTTTCCGTCTTGACCTGGTTTAAAAGAATTTAATTTAATTCAGCAAGTTTTGAAATAAAAGTTGGTACAGAAATGAAAAAATTCTTACTTTGAGAAATACCAGTTTCAAAAATATCAATGGCAAAGTAACCCCCACAATATTCATAGTTTGAAAGAGATGAATCTGGACATTTCATATTGCATTCGGTAACAGGAATTTCCTTGGAGGACGGCTCAGAGTTGCCACAAAAACATTCAACTCTGTAAAGTAAGGATACGACTTTTGTCAAAACTTTCTCAACAATTCAATATTAATAATGACTGGCAGATACCCGTATTGTACTCCGGCATATTGGAAACCTAAAGAAAATTTGTCGAATCATCACTATTCACCTTTGCATATAATATTAAAAATGAGACAGCAATAAATGAACTAAAGTTACCGGATTGAAGGCACATTTCGATACAATTTAATGGAGAATTTCTCTCCTTCATGATAAGGAAGGAATCTGGAAGGATTCTGTGTTTCTTATTATCTCGGAAGCACCCAACACGTTTTCCAAAAACAGTTTCTAGAAAGGCAACAAAAATATTCAACTATAATTCTCATCCAAAAACTTTATATGGATATAACTTATACAACTAACCATTGTTCGCACATTGCCGACTTAACCTCGTCGGATACAAGGTATTCGTTGCAATTTTGCACGCCTATATAAAATACAAATTATACTTTTATGGCAATAGTATAAATTGTATATTTATTTTTTTTATCCTTGTAATTAATGATTAATGATGATTAATGATGATTAATGATGTAATTAATGCGAAACCTAAATATTTTGGTGCAACGCTTAAATCTTACCGTAGTAGCCAGTTGCTCTTTGCATTGTTGGGTTTTCGCCCGTTGGATTGCTGATACTGCTTCCCGTGATGTAATGTTGCATTCAGGTATGAAAGCTAAACTTTCTAAATCTAAAGTTGCCGAACTATGTGATGTCTGGAAAAATAAATTATCCCATAAATTATCATTGACTAAGGAATCATCTAAACTAAATGCATACCGCATTTGACTTTGTACTCCTTAACCCATGATGGTCATCAATAATGTCTTCCGCACAATGAAGATATGTTAGACAGACGGCCAGAATCAAATGCACCAACATGAACAGACCAATTGGGACAACGAAGCATCGATACTTGATAAAAAATCGGCAAATTGCAGGGCCGGGACGGTGACGCTCCAAACTCATTCGTGACGCCGTCCCTCCGGACATTGCTGTGATGTCGTAATTAGCAGGTTTTGAAGACTTTCTTTTCATTGCGGTGGCGAAGATGAAGTGAGGATGGTGCAGTTGCACGTTAAGGGATGTGCAACGGCTGAACCACTTTGGCGAAAAATACCTTCACCGACGGAGACACTGTACATGTAAAAATGCAGAACTTGTCTCATTCTGTAATATTTCAGAACAATTGTCAATTAACTTTACATTAATTAATATAATACTTGTAAATACTGCATATAACTTACCCGAAATAAATTCAAGTTTTGCATCTGTTAAAGAAATGATCCAAAATGACAGCTTTGACATTCCTCCTCTTATTCCGCACCACCTAAAGTTACAAATCAACAAAAACAAGATTATTAATTAGATATAAACAACGTTAAGGTAGATATCAACCCCAGCAATTTTTTTTTCATGCACATATCATACTATGTATGTGTGCAGAGAAGACGGAAATCCCTGACCTCTGCTCTTATCAAGCCACAGTCGTAAAATGATCCAAAAATGCCAGTAACACGCAAAGAGTTATTATGTGACCAAACCCAACATATTAAAATACCGGTAGTTTCTGTCACATCAATCATCCATTTACATACATAAAACAAGATAATTACACAAAGTATCGTATCATAAACATCAGAACGAACGACTGACAAAATATTTATTTCGAACAGTGGAATTATCATCTCATTCTGTATACGTTCTCTAATGATGAAGTGATGAATGATATGGCTAGACAGTCATTTTCCTCGTTACCTAAATGGGGGTAATCGACAACAATTAGTCCTCCCTGGTCGTTAAATATGTGCATTTGTTTCGCACATGCAAAAATAAAAAAACATTTTGCTAATCAATGGCCACCCACCCTGAGTGTGGATATGTAACTATACACATTTTTGAAACCCGACTCCTAACCACAATTAGTTTTAACTGGTAACATTTAGCCCAATTTTTTCCAGCATTATCTCACCATGTAAAGCGAACAATCATTTTCAATGCTGAATTCATTAATTCATGCCACATGCGAATTTAGACCGTTGTATAATGTTCCATTTTTTTCTGATGCATGCATGGCCATAACTAATAAAAAATTGCTTGTGCAACTTCTTGTCTCGAGCTCGACGACACTTAAATTTGATAATTAATGGCCAAAAGACTCAAGTGCCAACACAATGACGAGGACGACACAGACTGCAGACATTCCAGTGTTACATATTATGTTATGAATACTTGTTTCTGTCCTGTTCCACTCAAATATTGGTTAAATATTTCAATTATTCCAAAATAAAATGCCATAATAATTTCTTATTGTACGTCAGGCGTCAGTCACACTTAAATCCAACTCATAAATTAATTAGTGAAAAAATGACATGAAATAAAATGAGGAGGACGCTTGACTTCAAAAATAGTTAATTCAACACTAATTACTAAAATTGATTCAATTTATAACCTTACCTTAATGCGATTTTCTCATTCCTATCCCAGCGTTCGACTCTCTTGGTAAACCGATAAGCGACTAACCACCCCAAATTGGAAAGTTGGAACTCAAGACCGGAAAAATAAATATATTTTGTCGGCCTCCTCCTCCTCAAATTAATGGTTTAATTAAACCATTACTTTTTAGTACACTTCAAAATTTAATTGCACGTGTTTCTTCATTTTATTATTTGTTTACTTCCTTCATCTGAGAATCAATTGTTGTGCGAATCCGCTCCAGTCAGAATGATGAAGACAATGAAGAACAATGGACGATAAAAATTATGCAAATTAAGTATATGTGTTACTCAAAATTAATAATTATTTTTACATCTTTACAAAATTTCTGGAAAAAAATAATAAAAAAAGATCGAAGGAAGAAGTGTTTGTGTATTTTGAGAGTTGAGTCATCGCTCCCAGTTCCCACCAGCCAGCAGAATCCAGCAACAGCAGAGACCGCACTGCTGATCTCCTCGCGATTTTCAAAATAAAATTTTACAACCGGAATAAAAATAAAAATTATGATTTTCATTTTGTGAAACAATTAATTTAACTAATTGCGGTGGTAGATTAGCTAACTATATAAAGACAAATTCAAGTAGTGCCATTTAACAATTCAGTCTTTGGTTTTATTTTGTGTGGTTGGGATTTGAGATTATTTGCATTGAACTTCGTCTGATTTTGGTAAGTTGGAAGTTGTAATTTGTAATTTTCTGGTAATTTTTGATGATCCATAAATATTTAAGTAAACAAATTTTTTAAATTGTTTAGGTTTAATTGACTGAAAGGCGGACATTACAAGTCATGGCCACCCTAAAAGACGTCCTTCAACCTGAAAAACATGACGAATGGGTGCGGTATTTTATCTTCCCCTCATCCTCATCGTCATCTGACCTGCAAGAACAACTATTTCGACTCAGTGCCGCATGCCAAACCATTATTGGAGATTACATCTGGCACAACGAGCCATTTCTTTTGAGACGAGGACTTGCTCCGTTGTCATCATTTGATGATGAAGATGACACCGAAGGTCAGCAGGAGAAATGTCACAATGGAGATGATAACTTGCCATACTTTTACGGGATGACTCATTTTGGTGACAATTTGGAAGACGAATGGTTTATTGTGTTCATTTTACGAGAATTGAGCAAGATGTTTCCAGAGTTGGTGGTCAAGTAAGTGATTTGTTTAGTCAATTAATCGATACAAATGTTTCAAACTTTGGTAATAATAAATAATGACTATGATTCCATCTTAGGGTGGACGATAATGATGGGGAATTTCTATTAATTGAGGCAGCTGACCATCTCCCCGATTGGGCAGAGTCCGATGAATGCTGTAAAAATAGGGTGAGTTCAATTTAGTCCGTTTTCTTCAGTAAACAGCAAATATAAATTTCCTACTTATTTAGGTTTACCTACGTCAAGGGAAAGTTCATCTCATCCCGAACGAACTGACGCCCAACTGTACGGAGGACGACGGTTTAAAAATTGCTCAAGCTGTTCATACCATACGGCAAAATCCAATATCCGCATCCGTTGCGAACGAAAGTATCCAAAAAGTAATTACCAATCGTATCGGCAACTATCCACAAAAGATGGAGGAGAATTTCTACCATGTCAAAATATTCTTGCCACCACTTCTTGCCACTATATTAAAGGAGAAGCCATCCCTTGTTTCAGTGGGATCACTTGCATTTTATCTGAGAGATCCGATTAGTTTAAAAGTAATAATTTACTTTATCCATGCAACTTTATTTTAAATATAGACTAATTATTATTTAAATATATTTAGGCGACAAGACTGATGAAAACCTTCAAGCCTGGAAACGGATTGGTAAAATCACGCGTCCGTTTTACCAAGTGCTTATATGCCATGTTGACGAAACAAGATTTTCGTCCAGACAGACGATCCGGTTGGCCTTCTCAAAGCCCGTCATCATCCGAGTACAAGGCACACAGTTTGGGTGCAAAACTGGTAACACAAGAACATAAAATCATAGTACAACTTTATCCTTATTTCAAGTTTTTTGTGTTACAGACAACCGGATTCGAAATTGTATTAGAACAAGGTCGAGGGAATTCATCTGCGCCATCATCGACCAATGGAGTGGAAACCTGTGATGGCGATAATTTTGGTTGGCTTCGTTATGAGGAAGCCTTAAAGAAGACGGGCTACTTTCGTGGATATATGGAGGGGTCAAAACCATATCAGGATCTGCTCTCTGGGGCAAAAGACTTTTACAAAACGAATTTGGCAAATGTAGACGGTAATTCCTCTGCTAGCCATCCCGTATTTTCTTGGAAAGAATCTGTATGTCAGGAAGTCAAACATTTGGCGGACACTGTCAAAGTCGATTTAGACCAGCTCCAGAGCGAAAGTGAAACACTTCCAGAAGACGATGGTATGTGGATGCTTATTATTATTGACCGATGCTAAATAATTTGACTATATACATTTATTTGTATGTATTTTTATGTATTTGTGTAATTATTATTTTATTTTTCAGACGATTCATGGCTAGCTATCAAACCGGAAGATTTGGAATCTCTATTACAAGCAAAGTTTAATTCAGGGGGGTTAAACCCAAATGATATTCCATCTAAATTGAAAGAATTTATGAAGCAGATTTCTGACTTCTCTGGAGTAGAACCGGTTGGGTATGTGGAAATAACAAGTTTTTGTTATTATTATTTTTTATACAATAAATTTCATCTTTTCTAGTGATTCCACAAGTCATCTCTCAAACAGCTCGTCATCAGGATCGCCACGCGAGAATGGAGCCGCCGCTGGGGACTCGCAAATCGATAGCTTTGGAGAAATTGACTTCAGAGCGGACGACTTTGTATCGGCAATGGATAAATTACTTCATGGTAAATTAATACATACATTCTCATTTGTCTCGATTTACTGAATTAATATTATAAATAACACGGATTATTTTCTATAAACAGATTTAGGCGCTCCAGACAAAGATTGGGAAGCTTCCGACGACTCCTTCGGAAGTGATGAAGACGAATACAAAGCGGATTTGGAGAGCATAAGCAAAATGCACCAATTTAGCACAGAATCGCGAGAATTCTTTGGAATAATGGATCAGATGGATACTGAACTTGCCTCCACAACTATTGGTCAAAGTTTCAAGTCACACCCAAAAAATGGAGCAAGTCCTTCCTCCTCCAAAACGGTTCCATCGTCATCTTCTACCAGTTCCACCACTCAAGGACCATCTTCTTCAAAATCTCCCAAAATTGCCACCGCCTCCGTAACAGAACTAGACGAATTTGATCAAGAGGAAGGTCTAACTCCCGTCAACATTGACATGAACGCTTTAGCCAATATATTAGAATCTTTCCAAAGTCAAGATGGACCCTCTGGACCTTCAGCAAATCTCCTCAGAAGTGTTGGATTTGACATGAACCGTGTTAAAAAGAAGTAAATATTCTTCAAATCTCATAATGCAATACAAAAAACAAAATTTTTAATTCTCTTGAAATTCATTCCTAAATGCCATGCTCTATGAAATAATGATGTGCAGTGCCGTACCTGTTGTTCAATTCAACATTCTAAAAAAAGTCACTTTGATTAATCATGCTTCCATTTGAAATTCCACAACAGTCTTCATAAGTCTTGTTAAATATTACAGTCATGCCATAGTGCTTCAAAAAACAAAATTTTACTTGTTCATACTCGTATTTTACTTCCTTACTTATACAAATGCAATAAAAATCTTCTTGTAAGCATACTCCGCCGGTTAACTACAGATCAAAATTATTACTGAATTTGCACCCAGAAAGATGAAAAGTGAAAAGATGAAAAATAGTGAAAATTAACATCACACAATTATATCCTTTGTTCAATTCAAAATGATTTATTTATGTAATATTTATTTTAATATTTACTGAGTTGGTTGGTATAATGGAAGAAGATTTTCCCTTCCATGTACATTATGTATAGTAATCAATTCGTATATATTTATAGAATATCATGGCAATCAATTCTATCCTTAAACCTAACTAATCTTAACTCTAACCTCTTTTTTACTTTTTTTCGGCAAGTTATTCCGTTACATGCCCTTATTTCTCTTTCACAACAATCATGTAACATTTTAAGACAAACTCAATATATTACAGTATATATTACGCGTTATGATCATGAAGAAGATAAAATCAGGGTTTTACAACTAATAACATGTTGTAGTACATAAGCTAACAAAAAATAATTAATTAATTTGACTAAACACAACAAAACGAGAGTGTGTTAAAAATTATGCTTCTTTTCCAGTTCAGACTTTATGTTTAGAGTTCAACACAACTAGTTTGGTAATAGGAGCTGCACTTGCTTTTTTCATCCTTATCAGAAGTAGAAGTAACAATAATATACGCAAAAGTAATCAAGATATCCATTAAATTATAGCTTCTCTTTCTTCTGATGTGACCTCTCTCCACCTTATCATCTTTCCTTTTATTACTTATTTTTATGACTAACATTCTTTAGTAATTGAATAATAATTTCAATTGAGTGTGTCGTGGTAATTGTTCCCACTTTTTTCACTATACTTAAATATTCTAGGTATTTTTTAACGATGGCTATAATTTTAATGTTTTTTTAGTAGCTGCAAACAAATTTCATTTTGTTTAGTGTTCAAAAAAAGAGGAAAATGCAAGAAACGTATTTAAGCAAAATGGCAAATGTCGACATCATGTCATTATGCATAATAATAACGTGCTTCTTTTCGTTGCTTTGATCAAAATACTATCAAAATATCATCATCATAATCATTTATATTATTGGCTAGATATTTTAATCTAGTGACTAACTTGACAAGCCTTTTACTACAGTCAATAAAAATTCAATTTGCAAGCACTTTCTTAATAAATGGTAAGTAAATAGATAGAAATTGCATATTTATGTAGAGATTGGTAATTTTGAGGGCACAACGCACACATTAATGAGACAATGACTTGGAATGTGCCGAATTATGGAAGAGAAAAATACATACAAGGAAAGACGAGAGATTGATTTTGTGCCAAAATAATATTTTTTCCCTTATTCTTTACATGATCCAATCTATATTTGAAAGCGTACTAAATATTTAACGTTTTTTAAAATTTTGCAAATTATTATGCTACCGTTATTATTTTTATAACTTGTTTTAATTTGTATTTATGTGTGTCAAACAAACTTATTCCTAATATGGCAAGTGGGTTCTTTTTTTACTATCACTTTCCAGAATTGTGTTGCATTTCTGTTTCACATAATCATTCGTGAATCACCTTTTCTGCTTTTATACTAACAATTAGCCTGCACAACTAGTAACAATAACAAGAACTTTTCATCTAATAGGTCAAAATGTACAAGTTTTCACTTTTCCTCTTTTTTAGACTCGACATATGTATAATGCAAACCTTACATGATAATTACCTCTAATGAGTAGTATTCTTATTACATATCGCGTATGAATATCATAATCGGTGCTCTTTAATCTGGAGCGATGTATGTAAGTAGATCGATAATATACATTAGTTAGTATTTAGTTGGCACATAAATAATGAATCGAACAATAATTCGCAGTAAGTTCAGCAGTATCGCTTAGTAATCATTATCAGATCATTATTATAATCATCGTACTTTTACCAATCACTATTCCCTACCTACAATTTAATTGCTCTGGTACACACACGGTTGGGAAAATGTATTGCGCAAGCCTATACATATTGGAAAAACTAAACAAAATTCTTAAAGATTTACAAGGGATATTAAGAGGCTCTCATAAGCAAACGTATAACAATTTCATCAGAATGAAAAAGGAATTGAAGAAGTATTTTAATCAAAATAAATTAAATGAACAGATTTCATATACCCCTCTGTAATAAATAAATATGGCATTTTAGCCTGTTGGTGTATCTGTAATAATTTCATGAGACAGTGTCAGCAGATCTATCTGTCTCGTATATCAGATCAATATTGGCAGATCTACAATAGTTTGAATCGACTTTTATAAAAAAGTAAAGTATATTGAGTTATACAAATGCACAACATTACATATTACATGTGTTAACACGAATCTCTCTTCCCTAATCATTTGTAAACTGTATAATGTATCAAAAACATGCGAATTGTGGCTTGGCTTGGCTTAATCTCAATTCTTAACATTTTAACGTTGACGAATTATTTTCAACCTTTGTTTGAGCAGTGCTTTTTAATATGAATAGTGAAATATTTTTCAAAATCTCTATATAATAATATGCATGAACTAATAAGAGGTGGTAATAGTTGCCCCCACGTGTGTGTCGTATGAATAAATCTGAGACGTATAAGAATAACAAAATAACACAATTTTTAAACTGACTTACTTTTCACGGAAATAAGTATATATATAGGAACACTAAAAGAACAGTCGAGTGGATTTACTTTTACAGGTTATAATATTAACTCCTAATTGTTTTAAATCTAATAAATGTTCGTCTTCTTTTTCGTTTCGCATCGTAATGGCGACAAACTATTCTTCCTCCTCTTCACATTGTGTGAAGTATTATTAGGTACGAATCGAGTATTCTTTTTTTACCCACCAGCATTAATAATAAACAAATGCGTCTTCGTCAAAAATTATTGAAATTAACATGTCAAATAAATAGTCAGACATATTCTAACAGAACAAATAAGTGAAAAAATTACAACTCTAATAATTCGAAACATAGTTCGAACAGAAATTATTAAACACAAAAAACTGACTATGTCAATTAATATCCAGAAATATTTGGAAGCTGAAGTCGTGAAGTGATGAGAATATTCGAAAGAAAGTCCGTCTTTAGTATGGTGCAAATCTATTGTAACCACTCCGGTACACCGCCGTCTGCAAAGTTAAAGAAACACACAATTAAATATAATCCATGCACAAAAATTAACAAGTTTTTCAACTAACGCATACCCCGTAACCAGTCACTGGACCAATGTTGTGACTCAGATAGGTTTCCGGAAAATCCCTCCCATATCTGAAATTAGTTCAGTAAAACTCAGCATTTCCAAATACTTTTCTCTTCAACCAAGTCAAACTTTTTGCGAAGCATAAAACAAAATCAAATTTTATTTTTTCAAATTATAAAATATCTTTGTCCAAAATGCAAAATGATTATCACGTGTTTAGTCCATTTCATTAGTTTCTTTTGCATTTTAGATAACGATATCAAAAACAAGAGTGGTAGTGGTTCCACAAGTCCAAAGAAACACCAAAGACAAACCTGTCGAGCAATAACCTGAAATAAAAAAGGTAAAGGTGCAAAATCCAGCCGACAGGAATTAACTACATGAATGCAACGCTAGAAGCAGTTAATGACCAAGCTTGATACTACCATTAATATTTCTATGCAAATCTTATAAAACCATGGACAAAGCCTTAATTTATTCATAACCGGTTTTCTCTTACCCCGCCGGAAGGAACCCAGCAACGCTACCAGGTTGAGGCGCAGCAGCGCCATATGCTGCCCTTGCCGCAGCGGCCGCAGAATACGACGCTGCAGCGGCATAAGTCGCCTATGGAATTACAATTTATATGAAAAAACTTTCTCCTTCAAGTACAAAGACAACAAGAAGAGTTTGTTGTTCAATCTGTAAATCAAAAGTGAGGACGAGGAGGATCGGAATTTCAGGAAGGAATAAGTATCTCGGATTTTATTCCACAGTAATCTGTCTCCAGGATAAAAGGAAACTGTGCCACACATCGATAAAACACATCCCCAAATTGATCAAATCATTTCTCATGGTGAAAGCAACCAAGTAAAATCAACTTTGAAAAAAACAAGTGATACGAAGTTTGCCTCCAACTTGAGTTTTCTAATAACATGATAAAATGAAAAGAATTCTGTTAGACGACATAGATGCTCAGTAGAAAATACTTTTCTCCATTTTTTCTATCAGAAGACAAGGTATAAAGAAAGATGTCATTTTATATCTTGTCATACTTTTGCCTTTTCCCATGGATGGATGTATGTACATATAGCAGAGGTAAGTATGTAAGTAAAAGAAAGTACAACGAACGGGCATGGAGAATGGAAGGGAAAGAAAGCCAATTTACTGCAAGGAAGAAAAGAAATAGTGAAAGTGTGTGTGTGTCTGAGTAAAGACTGGAAGAAGGAAACCAAATACCATCACGATTCCATAAGTCCAAGTAAGTTCCTTGGTAGTGGTAGAGAAAAGGGATTGAGGGCACACAAGCATCAAAAAGAGGGTTCTTATTTGCTGATAAAAATTACTCTGCCTTAATGACATTGGTATTTTCATACCGCAAAAATAAATGTTGACATATGATATTATTTACCCTCCTCACAAACAAGAATTTCCTATCATTCCCTAACAAAGTGAAAGCTTTTTTTAACTCGGAATTTTGTTAATTGTCTGAAATACAATATCCGAGTCGGCATATATCCATTAACTGAAATTTTATGCCTATCTAAAATAAACGAAATGTAGCGTAATATTCATCCCGTCGGATTTCCCAACAAAGAGAAGAAAGAATAAAATAACCATGCAAATGAGTAATGCCCAACCCTTCTATCCATCCGTCTTCTCACATCCACATCTGCTCTCCAAGTTTCAAATCAAAATAAAGTAAATTAGTAGTTAAACATACTGCGAAGAGAACCCATTAAAATTAAACAAAATAAACAAACAAGTAAAACTCGGAAGAATTTCGAGCTCCAGGAAAAGCATGCATGAAAACGAGTGTTAAATACGGCAATACATCTTCCACCACTTATTCCCCCATTGGTGAACATATCCTGGCACTAGTTTTCCGCAAATAACGCTCCTCATCAGCATTTTCACTGTTTATTATTCTGCCCACATAAACTTTTGAATCTGTCAAGATTTTGTTCAACTACAAAATTTGTACCAACCAACGTCAAAACTCAAAAGCTTTCAAAACTTCTAAACGAAAATCGCTATTTCCATTCCATCAAAACCAAACTAGTCGTCGCTTACATATGTACATACGCGTATACGTAATATGTAATCCGACCACTGCACTGCGAGTACATAGTAGACGGATGCTGATGATGGATGTTGTGCCAACTCACTCTTCTCTATACATAACATCTGACAAAACTCGAAATTGCAAACCAAACCAACCACCAAACATATTCAACACCCCGTGGAGCGTGTTATGCTAAAAGGACGACGACGAAACGACGGTACCGTAAAAGCTGATAAACAAACAACGTATCACAACTAGCCAATTCTCCCAACGTCTGCCAGATCTAAACCATCATCATCATCATCAATGTGCATGTACGTACAAGACGTGGACTGAAACTGACGTCTGGCCGATTTTGAGTCATAATTTTCAAACGATCAACCAGAGTTGCACGGGTTGTTCGTACGTAATGTGTCAAGAAATCTGTTCGCTCTGCATGGGTACAAGCAGAAAGATTGGAGTATTCTTCTTGTGAAATTAACAGGAAATTAAATCCCTACTCAAAACTCCTGATAACGCAGTAATAATTGCAATCATAACTCAATCCAAGAAACGAAAAACGAACCGAATTGTTATAACTTACTCGCTCACCTAGAAAACTTGCATGCATGCAGGAGAAACCAGAGACTCGATAACACTGAATATCAAAAGAGAAAGCGAAACGCTATAAACATCACGTTCTTGCCTGGATTGACTTTTCCTCATTCCATTTTATTTGATGCTGGCCGTTCCCCAAGGAGGATGAAATTTTCTTTACTCCTTCTTCTTCAACAACGAACAACATGGGTGTGGGCGTTCAATGACGAAAAGAGAAATAGCGCTATGTGGAATTAAAACGGACCTACAGAGAAACTAGGCATACTACACGCCGGTCTCAACTCAACCCCCTGTTTTCAGGCCAATTTAACAAAAACGACATAACGAAAGTCGACTAACTGCAGAGCGAATGGCAGTAATAACACATAGAGAAAGCTAACATCATCATGATCCTCGTTCGAATTGACGACTTTCTCTTTTCCATTCTATTCCCTTGTCCATGTTCTCCTGCAGAGAGATGTATGTCGTATAAAAATTTATGGCGGAGGAATTTGTCGTTTGTAGTTTTTTATGCAATTGAATGTCATGTTTCACAGGAGAAACTACTTTACCACGGGCGCTCCTCGCGAGCTGATGTATTTCCCACGAGCGAGAAGACGAAGAGGGTCAGATTTTGTTCGAATAAAACTAAAACTGAATTTATCAACAAGACCGAGTAAAGAATTCCATGAAATAATTACAAGTCTTTAACGACTGATGTCTTTTCAGGAAACTACTAAATTACGGAAAGCAGACAGAAATTTAATTAAACATTTATGTCAACATTCTCTCCTCCCTCCATGACCGGATTATATTAGACAGAAAATAGAAAGGAAGGAAATTGAAAGAAAAGACCTGCCATGAGTCTGCATTTCATTTCATTTCAAAAGTGTCAGCAGCAAATTTTCTTTCAAATCTCGACATAATTACGATGAAAAAGGGCAACAATGTCACAGCTTGGAAAGTCAGGAAAGGACTTTGTTGGGTTGATATTGGATTTATACAATGGTAAATTGGGAAGTATAATAACAACAGAGATTAATAAATCAGCTAATTTTCATACCTGAACTCGTGGATCGGCAGCTGCACTGGCTAAGAAAGGATCATAGTAGACTCCGCTGTTAAAGAGAGATAATACAAAAACGATTAGTTTCCAGTTCATTACTTAATAAATAACAACAAATTAAATTATTTAGTACACACTCGTCGATCGTCATATTTGTTTCCACAAAATAATCTCGCACTGAAATAATTTTAATCATGAGGTCCCTACACGAATAAAATGCAACACACCCGAGTAGCCGCTTTCACCTACACAATTTCCTCAAGCTTACGCCAATAATGATGAATAAGATGTCACTTGTACCGACATAACATTAATTTATGCCAGGCTACACATATATACGCGCTTATCTCAGGAAAAACATACCACGGTGCTATGTATATGCTAGCAACAGAATATCATAATGTTCATCCATACGACAATGAATGCATCGAACTGTGCATGTTCTGTAACTACCTCTCGACTACAACCGTGTTTAACTTTATTGCCCAACCTTCCGGTGGCCTGACCGTGCTATGCACTCCCGTGCTCACTCTTGTGAAATGAAATATAATAGACTACAGAGTCAACATTTGTATGGAATTCCTCCACTAACAAATAATCCTTTTTTTATTACATGGAAAAGAAGGAGGAGGAGGAGATGGAGGGGGCAAAATCTAACTTTGCTTCAACAACTTTCATACTTGAATTGTTTCATTTCATCCGACCAACACTAAAACTATCAGAACAAGTTTACTTTTTCATTTTGCATAATATTCATTCCTCGTAAGCATTATTATTGCCAAAATATATTATTCCTCGCTCAAAATTTCCCCTATTACCTTTTCACATCTTTGTAGGCAGATATAACTTAACTGCTTTCTTGTAATAAAATATGCCCAACTTTCACTTCCATTATATCCGCTTCTCCACTCCTGGGGAACTTTGATGTACTAAATCCTTACAGTAATTTGGACAATATTAATATTCCAACGGATGCATATGTAGATAGAAAGTCGTCAGTCTATACGATCATAAACCTACAATACGACTACTAGACCGGTACATACACAGCGGGACGGATAGAGAGACAGACAATCGATTTATATTTTGTATTATTTCACTACTATGGAAAGAGGGAAAGAAAGAGGAAAAAGAAAACTTTTGAGCAACAAAACTTGTTCACTTTCTCAAGTCCTTTTTGCCCCAAAGTAATATCTACGCCATGGCACTTTCTCTCTATGTGAACGTACAATAGAATGGCATACAATATGTGCATGTGCGCTTTCCCAGCTGCAGCTTTGTTCCCAACTCCCTTGCTCCCATCCATTTCGTGGCACGTCAATCTGTTCTCTTATCCCTTAGAATGGGAGTACCAATAGAGAAAGAGAGAGGTGGTGGATCTGATTTTCTAACCTTAACCATAAATGTGCATATGTATATACATATATGGCAATAAGCCATTTCCCCCCGAGATTGTCAGATTGGGATTTTCTCCTCGCACTTTCCATACGCTCTCATCTACTTTCACTTTCAATTTCCATGTTCTCTTATATTCATCCAAAAACCAAGAAAAAATAGAACCAAATGGCATAATATACGTATCATTTCGTTATTCATTCTTCTTGCACGCAGCAGCAGCAGGTTACAGTTCTCACTTTTTATGCACGTATTTTTCCTTTATTCTGATCGGATTTGCTTTTAAATCCAGAAAGCAAAACGTTGTTTCACAGAAATGGAAAACACTTTCTGGCTTTTTATTGTATTTGCGCATGAATTACTATGCACAGAAACATACACTCTTCAATGGGACAAATATACGTCCAAAGATCATATAATGCATGCAACAAATTCGATTAATAACACGAAGGAATGTGATTATGTCATGCGATACAAGCCTTCATCATCGTAAATCAAAATCATGCTTTATAAATATACGGAATTTTCATAACTGCACATTCCTCATATAAAATTGTCAACGGACAGCTAACAAGTACATGTTATTTTTACTCCACAACATATTCGGTCACAACTAACGCAACAACCAACATAACCTGTCAGTATAAGTGTGATCAATAACACTGACCAACAACAATACCGCGTGTATGTGTGTGAACATCAAAACAACTACATACATGGTTTGCAAAACTACTACGATATAAATAGATACATAGATAAGTAAGTAAGTGGTGTGCATGTACATACACAATTTCAAGTAATTCAAACATTGCAAAACTATTACTTACGGAGCAAGTCCATGCAACCCCGCTGCAGCAGCATTGAGATTGAGTGAAGACTGACGGGCCAAAGCTGCCGCCGCGATCGCGGCTGCAGAACTATTAGCGCCAACCAATTGAGATTGGTGACCGGCAGGGCCGACCCCTGCAAGTCGGTGACTCAGACCCCGTTGTAACATGGCGGCTCCACGCATCGCTCCCACAACTGGAGGAGTAGTTCAAAGTTTTCGTGCAAAGTGAAAGCAAGAGAGAAGAAAGGTTTGTATATACGGTCAGTAAGTGCATGTAGTTTCAGTTTGAGGAGGGATACATATCATGGTTGTAAATATACGAGAAACAAACAAACGTGTAGGGAAAGTAATTCAAAAGGATTCAAACACTCAAGTGTTGGAATGTGTGAAAAGAAGGGCGTGGAATGTGAATATTGCAGGTACAGTGGTGAGTTATATAAATATTGCAAAATAGTTGATTTGACAAAGGAACGGGAGTAATAATAAATGAATAATAAGAGAGACAAAGCCAATTAATGAATGAAGGAGGAGGTGGGTTGGTTGGTGTCAAGTGAAAGTGCGACAAATGAAAGTGTGGGTGGTGTTGGTGTCACAAAATTGTATTGTTGACAGACACAATGATATATATTTGTGGTGGCGAGAGAGAGAGGGTCGTCCCAGGAGGAGTGCGGTGAGAGTGATCCGCAGCAGTCGTTGAGGTTGACAGAGAGTTGACAGTGGCGTGGACATACAGGTGAGGGAAGATTTTCCAAACACAAACATAAAATAAAACAAAAAAAGAAAACAGCACTTTAGTCTTTGCTCAATACAATATTTGTTACATTATCATTGTCATACATAAGCTCATTGATATGTACTAAGTGAAAGTAATAATAAAGGAAAGCAAAAATTCATACAACAATCAAGAAAAGTTGTTATAAATACGTGGTAGCAAAATGTAATTTGTGAAACGCTTATTTTTATTTGAACACGTAATAAATAAGATTTGTTCCATCCATTCCAATATCAGCAACTTTTAACATTAAAATCATCCTTCAGGCAGAGAGAGGCAGTACACATTTTTATACATTTTATATAAAAACGAATTCAGTCAAATCAAAAATGCAATGCTCGCCGTCATCGGCAAAAGTCATACGAACGAACACAAGCAGCAAAGCAATTCGCATTCCGCATTACAAAACATTATTATCATCATCAAAAGATATATTGCAAAAATGTAGAGGTTCGAGAAATAGAGAGAGAGAAAAAAAATAGATGGATGGCAAGCCACGGGGGGATTCGAATTGAAATCGAAATTAGAATCACCTACTTCTCGACTAACACACAAGTTACTACTACATATTTACTACTACCGACCGTAGTCAGTGCTGAACAACTCAACAATCATGTTCGCATCATGACCCGACTTTTATGCCATCGATCCGAGAGAATACAAAGACATCCATCCATCCAACCACCAATCTACTACGATATTTACTGCCAAATGAAACCGTTTCCTGACTTGTCTACTCTGTCCCGAAGCAAAAGTAATAAACCACCAAAAGTTCGACAACTCCATGTAAAGGGTACTGGTCGCGTTTTCTGCTGAATTTTGAGTATGTACATACCTACATATAAGATGAGTAGGAGTAGGAAGAGGAGAAAATGGCTAAAATGAATCATCTAATATCTCTAATGAATCTTTCTGCCTGAGAAAATGGTGCCCTAAGGGAAACAAATAGTTTCATTATCTTTCTCTCTTCTCTTCTACTACAATTACGAAATAGTACGGTTCTCACGAGCCGAGAGAGAAAGCTTACTTTCAATTACAGAATCATCTCATAGCTTTCACCATTTCCGAAATGAGACGACCCTTATCGGACGAATTTGATGCCAGAGGTGGTGGATACGTATCTTTACACTTTGAACTTACTTGCACGGGATCATCTCAGTAGCCTCAATCATTATTACCGTATATATTCTCATCATTATCAGACGAGTAAGTTGGCTAAATAAGTTTTACACTCTCTCCACTGACCACTTCTATAGCATACTTAACAACCAGTACCACGTCCTAAAACTAAAATACATAAGCTCATGAGCTACAGAGGAGAAAAAAGTTTTATTTTCACAGCAGACTTTCTTATTTATTTCTTGAAAACTCCCAAGTAACTTGTAAATGAACCTGGTAAACACACTCTCAGCAACTCCCACGAGACAGTAGTGACGAAGGCAGAGAGTAATAACATATTTCACTCCGTGTGTGGCTTAAAGGTTCTCGACCAACCAGCGTCCTCCTTGTCGTCGTCAACTTTCACCACATCCCATGAATTTCTTATTTACAACTCTCCTTCCTTCCCTGACTGGCAAACAAGAACTTATCAACTAAATAGTTTACAATCTCTCTGTGTGTCCTGCTCCTGTCCCTCTTCTTCATCGTCTTCACTAACTGACTGACTAACTAATACTGTCACGTTCGTGTCCTGTTTCCAATTAATCCTATCTTAACACAGAGCTTACCTTCGTCTCACAGGCCTTGAAGCCAAAACTAAAGGGCTTGTCGACAGAGGGGTTGCAGCCGCTGCTGCATGAGCATGAGCCGGGGTGATCCATGAAGACCAAGGAAGCTGAGGTAATCTTACACCTGCAGATTGGTAGGTTACGAGAGTATATAGGAAAAGATCTCCGTAATGAATAAAGCATTCAAAGCAGCGACAAGCAAGCCGTATTGTTAAAAGCTAATTATGTCTCGATCTGATGTGAGGTTACTATAAATATCACATGAATAAATTGAAATGTCAACTCTACTAGACTACGTTTACATTTAATTTAATCAACGTGGGGTCGCTTTCACCACGACGACCCACAACTACCCACTAGCAATTTTGATTTGACTGATCCCTTTGGTAAGTAAGTAGAGTTCGTTGTTTTGTTACAAAATACGCTTAAATTTAAGGTATGACGTAAATAAAATAGGAAAATCAGCCTTCTTACCGTTCGCAATTCCAGCTGCTAATGGCTTCTTCGTCTGTACTCGTGCCGTGGCATTGTTGACCTATACGTTTTCGTTCACACACAAAAAAACTATTAGATAATGACCTTCCATTAAATACACAGACACATCACAACTTAACATAATGATAATAATAATATCATGCTTCATTTACAGAACAAAGACAGTATTTTCAAAGTGACAGGTGGAGCAAACCACAATAAATTGCGACTAATGCTAGTTTGTAGAGAAAGAGAGAGAGAGAGAGAGGTACAATAAATAGGTAAGTAATAATAATACACGTGATAATCTTTTACACTCAAAAAAGTCGGTTCACATTCCGGATTTTCTCCCACAACCAATAATAAGAATAACTTTGCGTATTGTTTTTGCAGTACAAAAGTTATTGCTTGAAAAGAAATAATGCAGACAATAGTTAATAATTTTTCAAACCATTCTCATTCTTGCGGCCCATATATTTTCATTCTCTTTCTAGTAGTAAAAAGATACATACATTTAATTATAGAGTTTTTTTTTACTACGGCACGACTGGAAATACAAATTAATTTAATGTTAATAATAATAATAATCCTACACATGCAACAAAAAACATTCAATCAAGCGCAAACATTCTTGCAGATAAATCAGCACAGGCAGTATCTCTGTTTTTGTTAAGTAATTACTACGCCAAACATAAATCCCGTCCAGTTCGACTTCAGCATCCCCGGAAGAGAGAGAGAGAAAGTTGTTGCTCGCAAAAAAAAACAGTCAGATGAAAGCAAAGCCCAATAGAATCTATGCTAACCAACCACATCGAGAGTGTGTGTGCCAAGTCAAAATAAATAAAAAATTGCAAAAAACTAATAAAACTTCTACACTGTGTATAACAAAAAGGAGCACAATGTTGGTTTTGAATCAGTATTGCGAGAATGCACGCAAGCTTATCTAAAACTCTCGTCATCATCATCATCCCAATTCCAAAAATGCCCATTCGTTCCAGTCAACTTATCAAAGAAGCCCAATCGCTTTTGCTTGCACTGAGAATTGCGGTGATGCCACGGCCAATACATTACATTACTCAAGACTCAATTGATAAAGCCTACATACTCCATACGAGGGTGGAAAGTATATATAAATCCATCCACACACGGTGCAGCCAGGAACAGACAGAAGATATCGATTTGTTTTGATCTGGGATGAGTAGACTTACACAAAATGAATCATCTATCCATCTTCAAAGGAGCTGATTTTTCTTTTCAGCATTCTCAACTACCCCCAACCAGCCCCCCTCTCTCGCAGACCACACGATGAGCAATCCATCCATCCAAATCCAATAATCCCAAAAAGACAGGACTCTTGGGCGAATTATCATGCATTTGATTTCATGTTGCCGGCCCGTGGCTGCTGCATATGTGCTTATCCAGCAGGAGAATGATTTACTTTCAAAGCTCCAATTGATAGCAGTTGTTGTTGTGGATTGTGGAGGATGATGATGTTGTTCATCTCATGTCGTGGGTGGTGGTGGTGGTTGTGGTAGATTGACGATTCTGCTCCTGCTGGCTGGTGAAACATGACGACCACTCCAAAGGATAGCCTCTGACCTGGTTGCACAATTCATACATGTGACGCCGTTTGAACTTTTAAATCCACTTTGTCCTCCTGTTTCTATTTTGTTCCATCATACATATCATCATCAAAAAGAGATCACTCATTGGTGAATTACATTTCATTCTGGCTTTGACTCATCTCTCTCTCTGTTGCTGATTTACTATTTCTTTGATAAATTATATACACCACCATTAATTCTACACAGGGCTGTGGATGAGCTGAATAAATGGTTCTGCTGCCTGGTCTCCAATAATACAGAGATGTCAAAGGAAATCAGGGCGGTAAACAACATGAAACGATAATTATACCAGGATCATCACTATGCCATGAATATAAATCTTTACTTACACCGTATAATACATATGAACACAGGTCTCTCTTTTGGCAATGCATATTAAGGGAGTTCAAGAGATTAAAATTCAGACAAGGAATCAACAAGAGGTCGCATCGTGTCAAGAATATGGAAATTATAAAGTAAAAATCAAGTGAAGAGACTACATATATAAAATGATGGATAGGTATGTACATCAAGGAAATAAGTACTTCTTGTACCGAGAATTTGACATAAAACACCTATATTTCTTGAATGCAGTAAAAAGAAGAGACATACAGAGACCACTAAAAATGGATTTAACATCATCATCACACCTTTTTTGTGCGAGAAGGCTTTACAGGAAATATAACGCATCATAACTCCGTCATTTTTTAAGAAGCAGTGGTAGCACAACACATTAACAACCAGTAGTAGTAATAATAAATATATTACAAAAGCACTTATTATTATTATTATTATTATGTACAATCATACAGCCAGCTTAATATTATTATTATAGCATTCTCAGCAATATTAGCGATAAAATACATTCCAAGTTTTAATAAAGCACGACAGGCAATCAAATTAAGAACAAAAAAACATTCCGTAATATATAGATGGTAACTCCAGTAAAATTTCATTCCTACCCAAGAATAAAGAAAGAGTCAGATTTTTTGTTGGGCGTGCTGACTAGTTAAAAATGAAGAAAATCTTTCCATCCTTCTACCAAGAAAGAGAAAGTTGTAAAGGTGACTTGACTAACACTTGAATAGTTTATTAGAAATAAAATTGTCATAAACTTTGGCATATAAATTTTTTGGTGTCGAAAAATTTTTACTTGACAATGAAAACACTAGTTAATCAATCATTCATTCAGTCACTTGTGGCCACCACAACTTTTTTAACACGCATACATACACACGTCACCAAAATCGCATACAAAACTGGACTAATTTATCGACTCGTATGACAAAATGTATGTATGTAATTGTGATTGTCTCATTAACAACATATTGTTCCTTATATTTATGTAAGATAACGTATCATCATACAAAGTAGCATTAGTCTGATCAAAGCTCTGAGTGGCATTTTAATTGTGAGTTTACTCCAGAAAATAATAATTTCAAGAGAAAGAACTGAAATGAAATGAGAAGAAGAACAAGATAGACGTGAAGAAAAGTAATGAAGAAGTAGTAAGTATATTATTATAGTAAGTAATAATAAATTCTGGAGAACATGCACACCTCAATTTTTCTCCCTTCTACCACGGTGCCATGTAATTTTTCGCGTGCTCGGTCCGCTAGGGAAAAAAGAGATTAGTATCGGTTGCAGTACTATTGTCATTCGAAAATAAACATGTCCATTAATATTGAGAAAACTACTTGAGTATGGCGGATGGAGAAATTTTTTCATAAACTACATTAAATTATCGTAAAAATGACATTAACAATAAATTTTTAGACTAAACCCAAGTCCTACAAAACCTCATTGAAATGTTGCTACCGTTTCTACAGTATGACCTCTTCTGGGGCCTTAATCCCAAGTTGGATTCATGTAACATGAAAATATCACATTTTTCATACAGAAAAGAAAAATTAAATTGCACAACTTTTGCGTCAAAATGCATGCCATTTTTTAAATGATTTAATTCACGGTGGTGTGACGGCGATATACCACGTTCCTTATTCTATACCGCTGGAAGGAAGAGCTTGATGACATCACATCTGTTATTCTGACGCGTTTTTGTAAGCAGCACAATAAAAATGGAGGGTGTAACGAAATCCAAGAAAGGATGTACTATTTTACTAACAGGTAATGGCAAATTTAAACGTAAGGTACAATTATACTTATACGAGATTACACCTTTGTAATTTATAAGTTAATTTATAATTTATAATAACAAAACAAAATGAAATTGTTTTAAAGGTTTGGCCAAATCAGGAAAAACTAATATTTCCAACCGTTTGACACAATTTCTGGAATCGAAGGATGTCGCCGTTCAACAACTAGATGGAAAAAAATTACGCTCTGGATTATGTAGTCAATTGGATTTTGATAAGCCAGAAGATAGGTCAAATTTTGTACATTTAACAAGTGAATGTGCCAAACTTTTCACTGACAAGGGGTTCATCACCATCATATCAATTGTAGCTCCTCTGTCTAAGGTAAATTAATGAGCTGGTGGTGATGGATATTTATCACTTAGATAGAACATCAATTTGACAATTTATTCTAGGATAGGGAAAATGCACGAGCATCCCATAATAATGATGATTTGGCTTTTCTTGAAATTTTTGTTGATAAATCGAAAGAAGAATGTGACCGGGAGACTGGGCTTAGTAGAAATGGTAATAAATACAATGTATGTATGAATGCATTTTAAATGTTACTTTGATTTAGTTTTTTATCCCGTTGACGCGGATTATGAGAATCCATCTACACCTGACATCCATCTTATTGCAAATGGAAAAGAGTTCAATGCCATGATTAGGGAAATAGTGTGTACACTTGTCGCGAATGTAATAACTATAATACTTATGCATTTTTGATATGCTATAGAATAAATGCTTAATTAATTTATGATTTTCTATACAACAGAATATTATCCCTCAAAATTTATTGATGCCACCACCACCACCAGCATTTTTACACTCGTCAGTTAGTGACGATGAGATGATAATGGATGAGGATGGACAAGAGGAAATTGATAATGTCCCATTCAGATTGCCAGTCATGGGAAGCTTGCTCCGTGCAATATATGATTGGCTTCTTAATGAAATCAAATCTCGTCTTGGGAGTTCCAATGTCCCTGATAATCTCAATCATCCACTATTTTTTAAAATAATGAATGAATGGGAATCTTGGTTTAAAGACAAGGAGGGTGAAGAACGATTTTATCCTGTCAAAATACCTGTACCCAAGAATCCGATTAACAAAAAAAATCATACTACACCTCCTACACAACATGAGTGGTGGAATTATATTGCTGTTCGGTGGGATGCAAAAACCATCAAATATGAGCAAAATCCCAGATTACACCGATATTTGGGGCAATCCAAATGTAAGAAATGTTGGTCCAACGGAAGTCCATTTTGCAGAAGCCATTCCAAAACAAAACGAGGGATCTTTGGAATATGTCAGGATGTCAATGAACAAACCAAACGATGCAACGTAACCCTGAGCTATGGAGGTGCTTCACTACCCAGTGAATGGTCATCACTTTTAAATAACGGATACTTTAAACAGAATACCCTGCTCCAAACCTACATGACTTCACATCCCCAGCATAATTTCATTCCATTGTATGAAACCTCAATTTCATATGGTAGTGATCTCAAATTCCCTGTTTTCCATACAACCACGGTAGCGAATTTGTATCATATTGTTTATGATCAATTCAAAACCTTACTGATTTCTTACACATTTTAGGTATCCACCTATTTGATTGTGATGTTAAGAAACCAAGAGATTCTAAAGACACAAGCTGAAATTCAACCCCATGTGCTACTCAATCAGCGGTTTGACATGAATTGTGCTATTTTAGATGAAGTGGAGGAAATTTTAGAGGAGAACGGAATTACATTTACTATTAGTGATGAATATGAGAAACCCCCATTGAATTCACCTATGTCTTTAACTTATTGTGATAAGCTACCACGAGTTTACTATGGAATGGAATCTGACAAACTTAATATTGGATTTAAAAACAACACATAGTAATTTCACTCAGTAAGTTAAATGAAATAATGCAATTGCGTAATAATAATAAATCCCTTATTTGTATTCTAGTGGAGAACAATATCTCTCCGATGTCCTCTATCAAACTCCATTAACACTTGCACAATCAGCTTTGGGTAATTTAATTGACAATCATGCAGCAAAAGAATCGTGGACTGATGATCAGAAGGCTCTTCACAAGTTGGTGGAGGATGACTGCAGGAGGAAGGAGTCATTAGGAATTGCAGTTCTCCCAATCTTGTCAATGAAAAAACAAGTCCATAATGGAATCCTAATTATCCCACACAACCAAAGAGCCCATCATTTGCCCACTACTGAAGCTGAGGATAGAGAGTACATGGAAAAAGTGTTTAAATTTCTTGGTGGACGAACTCTGACTATTAATGTCAACCCTTCTAATAATTTGAATTTCCCTCAATTTAAATTTGATTAAACTATAAAAACTTAATATTACAATTGGGTCACTTACCATCAGCAGCAGCAGCGAACGTTACGAAACCAAATCCCTAAAAAGTCATACAAAGTCAGGGAAAATGTGTCAAAGGCAAAGATATATATATCCAATTCATCATTTCAATTTAATATACATACCACGAACGAACGAACGAACACAGATTTATTAGTGGATAAAATAAGGACATATATAATGCCAGAGAAAGTCAAGTAATTAATCTGTGGGTAAAATATTGTGTATAAAAGGGACAAATTTGGATTGGATTGGACAGGGGATTTCACTTTGTTGTTATTGTTCATAAAATATATATACCGTACAAAAAGGAGTTGGTTGGTTGGTTGGTGGTTGGGTTTACCAGCTTATTATTATGAACAAATAGCAAGTATGTATAATACAAGTAAGTCGTAAGGGTAGATTTTACTGCCTCCCCCCTCACCTCATGCAATCAAACATACTATTGTCAAAGACGGGCTATTATATTATTATAGTAATTTGCGCGCATTCGAATTAGCTGCTGGTGTGTGGTGTCATTTCAGTTTTGCGTACAGGTTTTAGAGGACCAATAATAATTTATAGATAGGGATTCACAGGTTATATATGTTAGTGTCATTTCGAGACTGCACATCATAGCCACTATATAAACGCAATAACTCCATTACCATAGCCTTTATATTTTATATTTACGAAAGAGCATGCATGGCAATTTTGCACAAGACGAACGAACGAACGAACGAAGAAGTCAAAAAATTGCAGTGGTCCTGAACATGATTGATGGGTCGTGTACTTTTTAAAACATGTCCCAAACGTAACAAATGAGAAAGATAAATATATACTTTTCCATGATGTTACAGTGGAAATACTGTTTACATTCGTGAATCTAATTTTACTTGCAAAACGGCCATTAAAACACCGATCAAGTTTAATTAATTTAGCCAACACGGATGACGGGGCGTTGGTGATGGAATTGATCAATATGTTTTTCTGCTTGTTGAGCAATTTCCCAACATATGTATTAACTGCATATTCGTTTGATATTTGTTGCGATCGAAGTTTTTGATGAAATGGCATGAACTTATCTGGTATAGCTGGTCATTCTATTTATAAGTATAAGCCCTGTCTCTACTGTTCAAACAAGAGTTTCCAATCTATAGCCAGTATCTGACCACTATGTACTGTAAAAGTCTGTATAAAAAAGAACGAGCAAGGAATAAAGGAAAGAAATCTAGTACGTGAAGGGGTGATTGACGACTATTGAATTAAGTAGCCTCCAAGAAAGAAAAAGTGCACACCACTGCACTGACTGACTAACTACGTATATCCTGATAAAAAGAATTAAGAACGTAAGTGTGTTGTACGAATATCTATCAAAGTCAAGGGACTAAATTGACTCGAATCAAATCAGTGAACGGATGAAGGATCTATCTGTACATGAAAAAAGAGGAAACAAGTGTAGAAATCTTCTCGTCTACTCATCAAGAAGAAGACCGTCCTATCCTTGATCATGAAAACTGATGGCATTTAAGAGGAAAATAAGAATACAAGAAAGTAAATGATTTTTTTTTCGAAACTTGGAATTGATGGAAATATTTCGACAGACGGTCTGACTGAGGAGCTGCCGTCGTCGGCCAGGAGGAGGAGGACGAAATGCGGGCTGTGTGGTGGGTGTGCAAAAAATCCATTTGCTACAACATGATCGATTGCCTTGTCATATCCTCATTCACCCGAGTAACTTGCTTTCACTAAAGGAAGAAACTGTCGGCTCAGGTTTATATACAGACTAGTGCTTTATTTTTTCATGATAACGATGGGATAAAGCACCTTGCTCCTTGCCCCCCGACAACGACGACGACGAGGACGAGTCGACGACTTGTGTGTATCGCAATTCATTTCCAAGATTTGTTATCTAACTAATAAATACCCTTCTGCCTAGAGCCCGTTAAAATAAATGAATATTTATATCGAGCAGAGTCCCTTCATCTTCGTGAAACCCACCCACACACCCACGCCAAAAGGGTGCAAATGTTTAATTATGTGCGCAGTCCTCCTGCTGCAGGGTTATTATCAATCGGATATAGGTACATATTTAATTATTTAAAGGTTCTCACCTTAGACCCTCTTTCGTTAAATATGATCTCCACGTCGAGAATTGGTCCAAATGGCTGTAATAAAAATGAAATGCACAATTTTTCAAAGTGCTACCGTGCTGACGCTGACACTACCTTCTTAATCAACTAAAATCGACCTGCGAGGAAATCATTACGTCTTTGACTGTGTGACATGAAATAAATCGATACAATTTCACGATGACAAGCCTATTTATCTTTTTCATCGACTCAGCAAAACAAGCCGTAACAGCGAAATGCGTAATATTTCACGCCGTTCTTTCTCTTCGTAGAGGTAGAGAAGATACCCTTTCCTCGGTGAAAAAAACGATTACAATTTTTTCGCGTGAAATATTACACTCTCAAGACGATGACTTTCAGTGTAAGTTGTCACCAATAAACAAATCGAATTTTATACGTTCGAGGGCCGTAATCTAAATTGGGGTTTACTTCGTTAAAATGCTGATGGAATACATCCTAATCCTTTTACACGCCTAACCTATCTACCTTTACTTCTAACTTCTCCCCCTCAAATCTGTCTGACGTGTATGAATCAAAGATCAAAAGTTAGACGAGGAGAAAGTTGTTTCCAGACTTACCCCAAACATGGCCCTAAGATCTGGATCACGGAATCTAAAGGGAATATTTGAGACGTGGAGCCTTTTCGGTTGATGTTTTCCTCCGGAACCGGATGAGTCGTTTGAAATCTGAGTGCAAGTGGTCGAAGTTCCTTGACTTACTCCAATGCATGACGTTCCCGATGAGACCATTACCATGGAACAAGTTCCACTCGGATCCGACTCTGGTTCAGTTTGCTGAAAAGACAAAAAAAAAGATTAATGTTGCGTCGGATAAAAGTTACATTTAACATTCTTCTGAGAGGTTGTGGTTGGTTGGTATATACTGCAACTCCGCGTATGTTTCCGTTTCAAAGTTCAAACAACCAGAGGAGGCAGGCAAAGATTGAACGGGGAGAAAGTTCAAATTTAGATAAACTAATATTACTCATCCACAACTGCTGCCACTCTACCCGATGACAATATTCAAATGGAGGAGAGAGAAAGCCTGCCTTTTGCATTTTCAACGTGAAAAGGAGGAGATTGCCAAATGGGACCACATCAACACCGGTTGTAGGAGATACATAGTCACAAGCAGGAGGATATAGCATATCAGCATGCCGTCATTTTAAGGACGTATACACAAAGACAAATGATAATGATAATTCCAAGTCTTAACTTACAGTTTGTTGTTCCACCGCTTGACTACCAACGCTCACGCCAACCACCGGAGATGAAAAGGTTTGTCCAGAATCTTTGTCTTTCATCTGCAGTGGTGGAATACCAACTGTGTCCCCGTTCTGCAGTCCGCTTGTACATCCTCCGGGAAATGGCATGTTCCCCCCGGTCGTCTGAACTGTGTGCTGCAAAGTAGAAGAAATATAAGCGTTATTATTATTATAAATCTTATCTATAACCACAACCAAATATCTCCATGCCGTAAATGTAAGGATGATATGAAATTGCGTCACATGCATGTAACATGTTCTGCTGATTTTCAGAGGATTCTTTAATCTAAATCACCAACTAGTAGGTGTACGGTAATCATGACATTACGTATGTAGGCATGCAATTTGTCCAATACTTTCTCCACAGCTGCATGATTTTCAACCACCGCAACGGAGCAAATTGCGCTTCCCTCTTCTTCTTTTACCGACTAGTACAAAAGTTTGAAACAAAAGTAGTCGTGGTGGAATGAGAGTTTGATTTGGGAGAACAAAAGCCAAACAACCTGAAGTAGTTAGTTCGCACGGGTAGACAACCAAACTTTTACACATGACGACACTCTCCCAAATCCTGTAATTCTCTTGTATTAACACTTTCTCCAATAATAGAATTGAGTTCTCCTCTCTAACTTATTTTCCGGAAATGCGGCGTGCAGGCCAAATATCTGTATTATAATCAGGCTAGACTTTCAAATAAGACGAGCTTCCTTCCATACTGGAATGCGGATAGAAAATATTTGTCGTTTCATTCAAGAGTGTCAAACTTTCACCAGTCTGGCTTACATTTCCTGGTCAAGATTACCATCATAAAAGTTATACTGCTAAAACAATTTTTTCGCAGATGCTGACCGTCCAAAAATTCGTTCTCTCCTTGTTTAAAATTAATTTTTTTTACAGATATAGAATAGTCGTCCAATATAGAACCCAATCGCGTCCTTCCAACATTCAACTTAATTTAAAAGCAAACATCGCATCTTCCTAGAATCTCCGATTTTCAGCTTCTTATTCTTCGTCGTGCTTATCTTGCAAGCTTCTCCTTGTCGTCAACCCCTTGGAGTCTTTCTTCTTCCATTCTCAATCTTATATTGCGCCACCACTTTCATGTAATCCATCGTCGCGACAATTCAATACTCTACAGGAGACGGAGACGGCGACGACGGGGTGTTTCATTACACTCACTTCCTCGAGCAAGGGAAGTGACTAGAAACTGAAGGAGTATCCCATCTCCAGTGAAATCACCGACTTAGCTTAATACCCAAAAAGCAGTATAAAAGTGATGAGTTGGATCTAATGTCGAGTTTCCCCTATGCCACGACTAACCACTTTCTCTTGTTTTATCTTTCTAATGCTTTCCTCTTTCTCAAACGAAAACATGAGACCAATCTGACGAGATTGGATGGATGGGAGAGAAAACGGTTGTCTTAAGTAAAGAGACAACAGAATATAATGTTGTATCATATGATCCGTGAAAAGTGCAGGATAAATATGCATTCCGCGAACAAACTCGAGTAGTGAAAGCACAGCTTGTTTGTTTATCTTAGATTTCTCCACTTCAGGCTTTAACCAAATAAATATTAATATCTTTTACAGTAAGTACAATAACAAAACACAATTTTCAACCTCGAATCGAACTCCCTATGACCTTTTCACTTATTGCATTCAAACCAAAATTTAATTAATCAAAGGAAACTCAATTTACTAAATCTCAAATCAATTCAGATTAGCAACCTGGGTGAAATAAAGTAAGACTGACAAAAGCAAGGAAGAAAACAGCAAAAATATAGTTAACGGATTGGTAAATCGAGCAGATTTTCACAAGCATGCCAAGTCTCCACCGCAAACTAGTCAATAAATAGCCAGGACGCAATAAAACTGTAACTGATTCGTCAAACCATACCAATTACAGTCCTCTGCTGCAGTATAATAACTACAACTGATGTAATGACTACGACTAATTTTGCCAACCCCAGCCAACCGTCCCCCGTAGTAAACTTAATAATGACGACGACACGTATATATCCTTCCTTCCTTCCTCATTACTTTTCCTCCATGCACACACACCACAAGTGATGCAAAGCAAAACTGATACTAAAAACGAAAACGACGACAGATTAGAATGACTGCGGAATATGTAAACTGTTCAACCTTCTCTGCATGTATAAATCTCTTGTAAATTTAACTCCATCCATCCATCCCATTTTTCCATTCTGTTCTGTCTTTTTCTACAAAATTGGCTAGGCTTGTGCCTTCAAACTCATCTCATCAGCATTTTAGTTTGCGTTTGCACTACTTTACTTTGGTAGAGGAAGCACGATTCTGCTTGAGTGACGGATACATTTCTACTACGAGTGAATCCCCTGCTTAAACTTTTACAACGTTGTTCTCGTCCTTCGTACAAGAATAGTATTTTAGCCAGCTAGCCAGCCACCTACTGAAGAAGCAGAACGAGGAGGGACAGCTTATATGTAACTTTGGCCAGGAGGAAGAAAATGAAAATTAACTTTCACATCGTGCCCCGTTCATCTGTCGTCATTGCAGCAGTGTCACTTTAGCTACTTGGTGTTCACTCAATTCAAGACATCAAACATCTCCACTGCCACCCACCACCACGACTCTTACTAAAAATGTTACACGTACAAGTGTTGACGGCTTGTTGGTGCAGACGAATTCATCACTCAAGCATAGCAAGAATAGTAAACGATGGGGAAATACTAGAGAGGCAGCCTTCCCTGAATGAATAAATTAATCAAAAGACATGACAAAGAATAATTCGAGTAACGTGTAATAACACTACGGAACAAAAATAAATAGAAAGCGTTTTCTAAGTGCTCGCCGTTTCAAGAGGTTGCTTGCTTATGGTTGTGTCGTGTCAAGGAATATTGCACAGGAACACGAAGTGAGAGAGAGAGAGAAGTGGCCTACAATATTAAACAGTAATTCTTCTTTCATTTCATCAAACTTGCTAGACGATAGGCATGGCAGCAATGAAATGGTCGCCCATTCAGTCTCGAGCGAAAGGTTTGCATTGTTTTTCAACATGAGAACCAAAAGTAAAAGCATGCCATGCAACCAGACCAGCAGAGACGAGAGAGAGAGTTATCACAAGTACGCAGCTTTCTCCAAGCACTGCAACACTTGTTCAACTTTCCCTCACTTCTCCCCTCTCCGCCATCCAGTCGTTCCATAAGAATACAGTGCCAGGAGCCCCAAAAAACACAACTGAAACCGTACCGGATAGAATTCTAGCTCTTTCTCTTGCCCAGCAGTTTGCCATCTCACTGACTGAGGATGAGCTGTTCAACTGTAAGTTGTAAACTCTATCTTTTTCCCTCGTGGTGTATTACTGTACGTACGTCTGTTGGCCCTGTGGTTTGGTTTGGATACATCGTACATACAGCAGCAACTTAGGGAAGTGCGTTACATAGTATCGATCCAAGAGTAGAAAGAGACTGCATTTCTTGCACCAGCACCAGGTCATGCTTTTCACAAGAAAACTTTTACTCCGGCTGCTCTCCAAGTGCAAAGTCAGCCACAAAGATCAAATACTTTCATTTTGTGCTTGGTTTCAAAACCCATTCACAAAAGTGGTCGATAGCCAAAGTGGTGCTGATTATGCGTATTTTGAATGCAATATTAAATTCAAGGTGGTAAAAAAAGCCACATGGCCACATTATTTTATCGTCATCCCATCCTGGGCTTTCCGATTCAATTGTGTTCTAGTTGACACAAAGGAAATATTCCACTGCCAAGAGGAGAGGACGTGTTGAAAGATGCGTCTGGCGGAAAGATAATAAAATTAAAATTCTAACTAAACAAGCCACCTCACCCATGAATGCCTTTGGCATCCTGTTCAATTCAAACTTATTTCCGACCCGCACGTTTGCATTCGGTGGCACGTCCTGCCTCTGTCTTCTCCGATTTCAAGACTTGGTATTTTCAGTCAAGTAAAACTAATTTTGCGAACAATGAAGTATCACAGAAGCATTAAGAATCATTAACAAAGCACAAGAAGAAAAATATATGGAGTAAAGTAGTAAAACGGCAGGAAACAGAGGCTGCCAAAAACCATACATCTGAATTAAAAATAAGACAAGAAACACATAAAAACAACATGTGAAGGGAATAACATTACAGATAAACAGAACTACTTCCAACTGTTCGTGATTTAATTTTCACTAATTCCATGTGCAAGAAGAAGACCAAGACGAACCAAAGCAAGGAAACTGAACAACTTCGAACATCGTATGTATGGATAAATGCAACACTTTCTTCAATCTGGGATCAACTGAATTTATTAGTAACCAGAAGAACATCTGTCCATATAGTGTCGCTCCATTTGTAACCATCACACATTAATGATAACAGTACAGAAATTGAGCAATCTGTACATCCACGAGAATAGTGTGGAAATGAATACAACAGGACGTTTCATGCTATTTTATGCTAATGTTTCTCCTCCTGTAAAGAATTGAAATCTTAGTAGTCATCTGTTTCATTTTGTTTAATCCCTTATTGACACTGCTCCTCTAAGTATTTTACTATTTCATCATCACACACGAGAGAAAATCCAGGCCAAGAAGAAAGCTCTGGTGTGCACTTAATGGAAGTAGTTAAGTCAATTCCCCAACTTTAATTGACTGAACAACAGGCCGGATGGATGAGGAGATGGGATGAATAGTGGGAAGAACCGAGTCGAGTCGAGTTAAAAGAAGTGGATAATTGAATTAGGCAACATCGAAAATTAAAACCTTTCCATTTGTCGTATCATCATCAATGGTATCGTCGTGATGATAACCAACCCTGCTTCGTGGATCTTTCTTCTTCTCTTGCTCGGCTTTGATTTTCAGCAGAACACAAAAACTACTTGCACATCTTCTTGAATATTTTATTGCCGTGAGTGGTGTGCATTCATCTATTTTACAACGAGACGACTACTGTAGAATGCTGTTTGACAATCTCCACTTTATGATAATATTCACTCTGCTGAAAGCCAGGTTTCGTTATCATTGACTACATTTTAGACTATACATAAGTTACCGGTCAAACACTGTAACTCTTATACATGAAATTTTATCTAGCTGAATTCACCATGATAAAATTATCCATCAATTTTATCATTTGATTTAAATATCCCAAAAGTTTATTCAATAAGATCAGCAAAATAAATTTTCAAAATATAACACAATTTTCCCAATTCACATGAATCCGAAACAGCCCCCATAATTGCATAAAAGTTCGAATTTTGTCAAGGAATTGGATCCTAAATATGCTCAATGATCCGATCGTGGCCAAGACGAAAACCTCAAACTTCAAACAAACGACGCTAAAAATACGACATGGACAAAGTGGAGCTATTTTTTTTACAAAAACACTCTGACATAACCCAACATACGCTCAGAAGAGTAAAAAATATTTTGCTTGAGATCACGACGCTAATACATTCATACCACTACTGCTCCAAGTAGGCAGATGGTTAGTAAAAGTGTCTCAACCATACATATATTTCGCTTTGCTTGACTCGTACAACACTCCATCTTTCAAACACATGACATAAAGTCAAGAAATCAACGACTACGACAAGTGGTGTTAAGCTTGATCTAAAAAGAGACTTCTAAAACCCGAGAAATGCTATCAAATTCGAAGTAATAATTCAACATTAACGAGTCAAAGGAGAGACTTTTAGAGGAGTTTAAAACTTGAAAGGATCCGTGCTGTCATTTGCTCCTGGTCTGCCTGCACCACAATGCCGAGACAGTTATGCCAAGAAATTTCAGATTTCACAAACTTCATAAACATTTATCAAAGGTTGAGAAATATGAGACCTTTACCTTTACAATATTCACCACCTTCCTCTCTCCTACCGTTCACTCTCAAGAACAAACAACTCCTCAACCTTAAGAGCAAGTTGGAGCGTACTACTAAATATAACAAACTTCAAATTGTTCCTCGATTGGGTCGGTCGGATATGGTTTGGTTGGTTACAACAAGCCTCGCTCCTCTCGACTTTCTCTTTGATCCTTGTTTCCTCTTTGTCGTCAAATTGCAGAAAGGACGAGAAAGGTTCCTCCACACAAAGGGAGGAGGAGGAGAGAAGAGCGATGATATTGATACGCTTAGAATTCAAAGTCCTCGTGTCATGTCACTGACTGACGAGGAACACTATTAGTTAACCAAAAACTATGCTATCTACTAAGCTAAGTGCAAACCAACCGAGAGAATAGACTTCATTACACAATACATAATATAATTGCTTTCCACCACACCACTTGATGCTTTGTTCATTAGACTGCTATCTACCCATCATCATCATCATCGTGGAATAGTTGAGGAAACTAAATTTAATTATTGTCATCCCCGCCAACCAAGTAACAATCAACCAAACCCTACCCCCAAAACGAATTCAAAGTTCGGTAGCATGATGAAAACCGTCAGGGCAGTCAGTCAGTCAACAAGCTCGCTGAATTGAATTCAGATACACCGACCAGATACAATTAAACTATGCATGCGATCAATTCGTATTTCGTGTTTGTTTAACCGTAAAGCGATCACGTTTTCCATGACCAAAACAAAAGGTATGCAATTAATGACTTACAGCCGGGTAGTACAGACCCTGGACTCCTTGCGACGCGGGGAACAAAAAAGCAGGACCCCACAGTTTGGCGATTGAATTTGCAACGTCTGCACACATTTAAATGCACTTATGGCGAAGTAAGAGTTTCCTTTTTCTTCACAGAAATACGACACACCCTCTCTCAACCAAAGGAGGACAAGTAGCCAACCTCCAAAAGTAAACTACACAACTGCAGTCTAAATTATTAACACGCTCTCAGCAGAAGTTTTTGTAGGTAGGCTGCAACAATTCATCCAGAGTTCAGAGAGCAAGTTACTACACAATTTATCCATCCACCAATTTCTTCACCACATTTGAACAACCACCAAACCGGTCAACGGTAAAAAGAGTTGGAAAAAACAAAGTCTTGATGAAAGAGAACTAACGATCCGTTTTATAACGTTTTACTTAATACCACAATCCAAGAAGATTTCAAGTCAGGACCCACAAGCACGAAAAAGAAATTCGGTCTAAGAGTAGTCCTTCGGGTATTGGCTGAAGCTTTTGGTAGTGTTTGGTTCTGGATTGGATTGTAGGTAGGGAACCTTTGACTTTTTTTACTTTATAATAATTACCACTACCTGCTACATTCTCCAAGTTCTGTGACTTTCTTCTAACTGACTCCCATCGGAATTCCGCTTTCGAGAAAGCAAATGTGAAAATTACTAAAAGCCTGTCTGCTGTCGACTTTCATTCACGCCTTGGGAGGGTGAAAAGAAAATTAAATTTGACTTTCTCCCTCTCGCTGCCCTCCACCTCTTCCAAAGAAGAAGCGTGATTCTTACTTTGCAATCACAATAATGCACTATAGCTAATAATAATTTATGATTTTCATCTATTCGACAATCCAAAGGTAATTCTCAATCCTAAGAGATTTTATTTTATAATGAGAAAATCTCTATTCACAATCTTATACAAGAACCTGGAATTCGTTTCAAATCAACAACAACGAGTATTATTGAGCTACTGGGAATCGTATGTATCGTTCTGAATTTGTAATTCTCTTTCTTCTTCCTTCCTTGTCCAGCAGAAGTAGCAGCAGCAGAGTACGATTCACACAGTTCCTTGCTCACTTCCAAAGACCAACTAAGGCAAGACCAACTCGAACCAAGTAAACTGCTCGAGAGAACCAGAGAGAGAGAGAGGGCAAATCAGTATAAGAAGGAATTGGGAAAGCACAACTTGTGTGTATGTAATATAGCTCCAAGTCACTGCGCATTGCGGGCAGGATGTCGAACTCTCTGCTAAACCTAATCCCATGGAATCTACAACAACGAGGGTTACATTTTACATATAAAGACATTCTGCCACACTGGTCGTAGTAGCTTCTACAATTCCTCAACTTTCGTTTTGAATAGCATTTGCTCCAAGCAACCTCGTTTCCTTAACTATTCATTTGGCCTTGCTGTTACCATACTCGTGGTACATTGAGCATCGGAGAATTTGAATTTTATCGCAGGAGGATGGATTATTAGATTAGCTCGTGGATAAGGCAACCCATTCTGGAGAGAATAATAAAGCAACATACTGGTGGATATTTCACTTCGTCAGTTGTCCAGAATTTCAATTCATTCCATGCATGCAATCATACTTGTGGCATGGGCAGCTTGGCTTTACCCACAAGGCGGGTTTGAAGAGTGACGTCTTGCATTTTCAAGAAAATTCTATCACAAAATCCGTAATCTATAGTAGCAGGGCTGCTCGAAGTCATTTCCCAATTTAATAATTGTTACGCCACAGTATAAACACACGCCCACGCAGGAACATCCATCCATACATACACATGAGCAATCGTGTAAGGAAATGTCACCACAGACAAACCTGTCAAATCATGTCTTCCTCTTATCCATGCCTATCTCATTATGACGCTTGTTTTCTTGGACTCCAGCCACTCATTACACACAATTTTGCATAGTAAATGGTTAGCAGTTCAAGTTTAAAGCTAATTAGAAGGGATGGGAATTTATAAAAAAGACACTCAATCTTTCCTTTAGAAAGTGACATTTGAAAAGAGAGGCCAACTAGCAGAGAAACTTTGCCATAATTTAAAATCAAGCTTGACAAAGTTCCTTCTCCACCAGGCGGAAGAGTCATTTCTCAAATTCGGTGGTTTTGCCTTATAATTGGGAGTGGTTCAACTAGTTGCAATTTGTCATCTCTAACGGTCTCAACCAGACAGAATAGATATAGCATATATACATACATAGATTACTGTATGGATGGTGAGACAGACAGAATTTTATAGAATGAGCGACCTCCAGTCAAAAGGACGTCAATTGGTTCAATTGCATTCAATTAAAAGTTCTGAAGTGGAGGGAGTACATGGAATGTTGTCCTACTCTTTTGGATCAACAAATCCACGGCATAGCAGAAAAACCAGAGAATTCGTGATGAGAGCTTTCAACACCAAAGCAAACTGCTGGATGTAAAACCAACAACACACACAAATACCCTGCCTTATTGCTTAATGTTAGTACAAGAACTTGCTGCTTCTGCTGCTGTTACTCGTTATAAGAAATAATGTTTATGTAAGAGCATTACCGAATGATTCGAAATTGGACCTTTTGCGACCAACCAACTCTTAACGAATGGTTGAAAATTATATGCCCCTGCTAAAACGATGACGACGACCAAACCAAAGAGGCGGAGATGCTTTAATCTCCACCAACTCAGAGCTTTGCAATAATTAATTGTACAAACGAGCCATGCCATGCCAGCCAGGACAGCATGGAATACATTAACGAGAGTGTAGCCAGCCAGCATATGCAGGCAGGCTGTAAATGGCAAATTTCTCCAACCTCTATAAAATATATGCCATCATCACCATGTCGCATGCAATAACATTCACTCTTATTGCGATTTTCACTTGAGGACAGTTATTTTGCATACGTATCGATTCAAGAAGAAGACTATTAGAAAACATTTAATTCAGAACAACATTCCGACAAGATTGTGGATGGTTCAAATAACTAAATTTCTAGACGACGGGGCTATTAAACATTGTATACGACGCAAACAGACATCGTCAGCCCCAACTTTGCACTCTCAATAATTGTTTTATTGAATTACATATACTTTAATTGTCTTTTAATCCCTCGTGGCGCAAGTTTTAACAAATGAATGATTCCTTCAACGCGAAGAGAAAGCAGCTTACATTGAGACGACTACACCTCCCACGCACCACCACCCCGGTTGAGAGGAATAGATTAAATAGAAAATCACATCGTAAGGTATCAAATGTTAATACATTAATCTCAAGTTACCAGAAATATGAGCTGTGTACATATGTATGTACCTACGCAATTCAGATTTCCATGTACCTCAAAAGGTCAAACCCTTTTGAGGTACATTGTGCCCCTTTGAAATGACACCATTTGAATCAAACCTATATAATTTTCCCACCTATGTATTTCCACACATGCACATTAAGCATTCAGTGGTTTCCGTATATACATACATATCTCTCCGACCGAACAGAATGAACCCACCATTATCATCGTCATGCAGCGTAACAAAAGAGTCTCTTCATTTGCAACAAAAAACATTTTTGGGACAGTTCCAAATTCCCAGATTCGGATCGCATCGTTGCAAATGGCTGAACCATTTCCTCCACCGATTGTGCGACTCCTTTTCTTGTTAAATTTTAGATTGAGGAAGACATGCATTTATTCGACAATGGATCCACTCTTCCAAACCTTAAAAAATCAACATTTACTGACTGCTACGTAGTCAGTAGTTTCGAGTTCACTTAACACATACATAAATAACGCAACTTTTCTCCATCCTTCAATTCAAAATAATATGATCTTGATCAATACAAAATCTTCGATACGAGAGAACTTCTCCGATACCGAGAAGGACAGTGATATCTTCTACTCGTTATTTATCACACGCTTCGTTGACATCTCGAGAAAACGGGAATCACAAACTTTCATATTATTATCGGGACAACATTTCCCTCGACAAAGATCAACTTTATTCGCTGCAGTAGTACCAAGTTTCACTTTCTTTCCGTCTCCTTTCTTATTTAACTAAACGCTACTGCTTTCTTCTTCCTCCACGTGTGTATGTAAGAATGTTCTGATTTGTCTCTGTCACACCCTTCACCATCCTTTTTCCAGTTTAGTATTAAATTTCCATCGAGCATACACACATACACATACAACTTTTCCTCCTCAAGAGACTTTGATAAACATGGGACAAAATACCAGAGGTAGATCTCGCGGATATCTATCATGGACTGGAATCTTTTTTGGCAATAAGAAGAAGAATGATACGATCGACACTAATATCGTGTCGTGGGTATGAAGGCACAATTTGAGAAGGAATCAAACCGGAATTTCGACTACTTTCTTCTCACACATCAAAGTCAAACCACCATCATTTTACTAGACATGAATTTAATTCTTTTGGGAAAACTTTAAAAAAGGAAAATGTGAAATGCTTGTCTATCCCTGATTTTGAGGTGGTGGAGAGACAGCCAGATTTTTTCGTCGCATAGGTGACAGTTGTTCCTCGCTTTTTGTACTACAATACAACCACTCGCATGCCTCGGATCGCTTCACTATTCTCTAGAGTAAAGATTTATGCTCATATATCTCAATCACTGCTACCTACCACCAGACATGAAGGAAGATCAAATTAGCCATAGCGGAGTGCCAGTCACGTAATATTTTTGCCTTACATTCTTTCTTATTTATAAAAAAAAACTCCGATAGATAATACGAACGGGTAAAGTTAAACAAGGAATGACGACCACGCAAAAGGAGAGAAGAAGTACAAGAGACAGGTTTGTCTCTAGAGGAGGAAGATCAACAGCAGGGAGAGAAAGTTGCGAGACGACCACATATTGGATCAAGTTTTCCTTTCTTATTACCAAAACATACACACGTACGTACGTACATACACCGAAGAGATGAGCTCAACGTTAATTGGAAAGAATCCGCATTATGCAGTAAATACAAGATAAAGATGAAGTGGCCCTATATCTCTCTCCTGTTGGGTGTGTGTGCGTGTCTTGTACTATTTACTTACTTGGGGAAAACTCATCATGATGAGAACCAAGCAACATACATGTAGGAAAAGCACTCGACTTCACTTTGACACTCTCGCCTGGCCAAGAAGCAATTCAATTTACCACTACTACCTATCTCTCCGAACTATTTTTTTACTCGGCCACCAACACAAAGTTTTCAGAATATGAAAAACACATAATAAATTATTTCCTTCACGCCCAACCTAATAAAGCAATGAATGAATAACACCAACCAAGCCACCGCTCCAGCCTTAGATAATTTTGTACACACATGACGTACGTGTCGAATCGATAAGGGGGAGCCAGAGCTTTAACAAGTACCAATCTTTACCTCACTTAGACTCTAGTTCCACTTTTAACTTCGTGCGGAGGTTGTTTTGATTGAATTCAAGTTTTTATCTGGTGAGTAATATGTACAAGACGAGATAGTTGAGTACTTAAATGTAATCAAATCAGGAGGAGACCTTTCTCTTTCTCAGCGGTGGTGGTGATGCTGGTGGTGACGAGTTAGTCGCCGGCGCTGGTTTGGCGACGAAGAAAGTTGGCAAGCGTTATATCCTCGAGCTCTTCTTTCTCTGTTAGCGAAAACTTATAAGGACTCACTTTCATATCATCATAAGAAGATGATGAAATGAAACCACTTTGTCGTCCCTTTTCTCCACCTGGTTTCAGATGTGGGCTTCACCTTCTTTCACCAACAACAAAAGCATTAGGTTTCATTACTAGTAAACGTACTTACTTACATAAACCAAGCACAAAGAGTTGTGGACCAAGTCGCACGCAGATTATTAAATATTCTGCAAAACTTTTAAATTAAAACTTTTTGAACAAGGTTAATAAGTCTTTCTTCTCGGGAGAACGAAATAAATTTTGATTCTCAGAAACCTCAAACTTCATCATTCCCAAGTACCACCTAGCTTATTATTATTACAGCCGATATTAAATAAGTGGTCCTCAAGTGGACACAAGATTTTCTTTCCCAGAAAAGTTGAAACAATAAATGAATTTTGTAAAACTCATAACAATGAAGACTTCTTATTATTCTCATTGTATCAAATTGTA